GAGGCAAGGGGAGACGGAGCTGGGGCCCTGCCGGTTTGCGGCCCCCCGCGCCTTCCCGCATCCTTCCTTGAGAATCTGAATCTCCTGCTTCTGGAGTTTTCCTCGCGCTTGCTGGTGGGGAGGGGAGCGTGGGAACCGTGCCCGCTGGCTTAGTTCAGCTCCCCCCGGCTTCGTGCTCCGCATGGGAATGGGAAGCCCCCAGCGCTGCCTAGTTGGCCTCTTGGCTTGCACCGGGGTCAGGCGTTTCAGGAGAGAAAACTTTGCCGAGTGTCCTTGGAATCACTGGAAACTCGAAAGTATTGGAACTGGGCTGGTATCTGAAAAGATGAGGGCTTTGTGGAATTAAGGCTTCTGGTGGAGAAGACCCTGAGGAGATGGTAACTCTTTTCAGTGCTGGCTGGGGGATTCTGTAGTAATCCTGCTGCTCCAATGACCTCTTCCTTTTCTTTCTCTCTTGTGGTGATTTTCTTTTGTATCGCTTAAACAAAACAAAAAAAGCCTTTGTTACAGGAAGACCCGTGTAAGGGGACTATTTTCAGCAAATGTAATTTTCGTAGGATGGGAAAACTACTTTTCAGGTGCAAAGAGTTTTTTTGTTTATGGTTAGGAAAAAATGTCTAATAGGAGCTTCATCGTCTCTGCCATGGATAATTCAGTAGTATTTATAGTACTGTTATACTCCTAATTTTTTTTTTTTTTTTTTTAACAATATGAATTGCTCTGACTCAGGCCATCAGGCATTGCTACAAAGATAGGCCAACATTGTTCACCAAGCTAAAATGTTCTTTTGTTTAAAAAAAAAAATATCGGTATGCAGGGTTGTTTTGAGTCCTTTATTCTAGGACTGAAATAGAACCTAAGTTGAGGCCCTTGCGAATCTTGTGAATGCAGACTCTGATTCCCAAACTGAAGTTCCTTCAATAACTTTGTGTGGCTTTTCTTAATGTTGTTTTTCCTCAATAATTTTGCAATTCTGCTCTTGCTTGTATGAAATTGTTTCCTGCAACATCTATGCTGAGGTATTTTTCTCCTTGCAGAAGTCCATTTCCCCACCCGTGAACACTTCCATTTCCTGTATGATGCAGAGGTTTTGTAATGCCTGTGACCAGTGTTTGTGCTGCTTGCATGCAGGAAGTCTGGCCAGATGTCTCTTCTGGCTTCATGTGTGTGAAAACAAGTAAGGTGCAGCCAGCGTACGCCTGCTATAGCCTGTGACTTTGTCTCTTTGTTTTTTCCATTTACCAATGTTTAACAAAACATTGCTAAAACCTCCTTCACTCCCCTTGCCCTCCCCCCTTTTGTAGTGAGCCTAGACAACGAGAAGTTCCTAACTGGCTTAATTAATTACTTTCCAGGCATTTTGCATACTGTGTCCAAGCTGTTAAAAATCAAGGGGATAAGGCAGTAGGGGGAAAAACAAAAAGTCAAAGCCCTACCCTTTTTACAGGCAGTTTAGAAAGATTTATGTCAGTGTTTTGTGTGTTTTGTTTTTTTTTTTTTAAAGAAATTTCAGAAAAACAAGAAGAGCTTTAATTCTGTCTAGAACTTGGATAGTTTAGAAAGATTTATGTCAGTGTTTTGTGTGTTTTGTTTTTTTTTTTAAAGAAATTTCAGAAAATCAAGAAGAGCTTTAATACTTTGTCTAGAACTTGGATTTTTTTTTTCAGTTTCAGTTTGCATCTTGCATCTTTGGTTAGTTTGAAAATTCCTGTGAGCTAAGATGGTAGTGCAGGTGTACAGGGAACCCCATAAGTCTTCCTCGTGTTGCAGACAAAAAGCATGTGCCTGTGTCATGGGACAGTAGTGAAACAATCTCTGCCATCTTGTGTCATCTCTGTGGAATAAGTATAGGTCCACAGTCCTTCCCTGTATCTGCAGTTTAACAACTTATTTTAAATTATAAGTACTACTTAGTAATGGTAACCGTGAACAGAGCATACTCTTAACAGGTAACATCCTTAATGGGTTCATAATCTCATGTTTACAAAGACATACTTAGAAAATGAAGGGGACAGCATCTTTATGCTTCTGTGAAAATTATCAAGGTTCTGTGGAACTCTTATAAATCTTATGGCTCAGTTAGGGGAAGCTCTTTTTTATGTGACCATACAATCTTAAAAAATGCAAATGAATGCATTCTTTTAGTCCTTGCAAAGTGCGGTGAGAGCCAGATATGAGCATATTCAAGCTTTTGAAGCCAACAAGAGCTGTCTCTTTTGGTTCCAAAGGGTTGTTTGAAAGCTTTCGGGAGCAAGATGTCTTGCACTCCTTCATCTTTATCTTGTCTGACTTATTTTTGTTGACTGTATGAACACAGATACAGGATTTATTGTAATGCTTGTGTCAGAGGAATTCCTCTTTGGAAACTTCTGAAATATATTTTAATTTGCATAGAAAAAACCAGGCATACCCTAGGTGAAATCTCTGTTCTTGAAGAAATATAGAAACTTCTTCTTGTCTGAGTGGTGTGAAATAACCACCTAAAGGAAACTCTGGCTTGCTGTTCTCTGGAGTTGTTTGACCACAGTAATGTATGCTGGTCATTATTGGTTTCTCATTGCACCTGCATCACTACTTTGTGTCTGATCCTCCCTCCCTGTCCCTCATCTGTAAAAGAGAAATTTTTTTTTTATTTACAAATGTACTGCAATTGGGGTGTGTGTGCACAGTGCCTTGAGCATAAGGACATGCTCATTAACATCAAAGACACTTTCATTTTGCTTAAAAATAATAGAGTAGGTGTGTTGTAAACTATCCTGGATCAAGAATGTTAATTATGCTCAGTTGTGATTTTCTTTTTAATGGGCAAGGGTACTATTTGGAAAATTGTTCCTCCTTACTTGTGCTTTTTTTCCCCTCTCTCCTTTTTTTCCCCTAGTGCATGCTTCTGTAAATACATACAAAGAGCAGCAGCCTTGAGACTTCTTGCTGGAAGTTTGTCAATACATCACACAGTGGTTTTATTTGTTAAAGGAAGACACATAGCTTTGTATAATTAACATTGTAAAAACTAAAGCTTAGTAACTTTTCCGCTCGCCTGCCACCTCCCCCTCTAAATAATAGTGTAATTTCCGTGAGCGTGTAGCTGATACTGTGCATTGAGGTGTGTGGGCACAGCCCGCTTAGCTGTGACAGCTGCTTACTCTTTGCTTAATAATCTCCTGAAAGTCACCTGTGCCATGAAAAGGACTTGTACTTTGCAGCACTGCTTGGGTATGCAAGAATTGGGCTTTAGATCCCCAGACTACTTTTGAGTACTCGATACTGTTGTCTGCAGTAGTGGTAAGAACTACTTATGTTTGTCTCAGTGGCGTTACCAGATAGATAGCAGGCTGTTAATCCTGTTTAAACCAGGTGATTTTCTGGAGGGGACAGTCTGAACGCAGGTTATGAATAATTTTTTCAACTGAGTTGAATAGGTTTGCAGTGGATACACATTTTCTTTAGCTTTGACATGCTGCTCAGAAGGTCTACTCCAGCATTTCCTGGGTACCATAAATAAGAAGGCAGGACTGATGTCTAAATGATCTTTGATGGCTTTGGCTATTTTTTTCCTCTTCATTCCATCAGGATTACCTCTAGGAAACGTTTTGCTTACTAGATTTGAAGTTGAAACTTGGTAGAACAACTGTGTTTCCTCAGATTTCAGTGATAGTTTTCTGACAGCTGCCATTGTTATGAATTGTTCAACTCCACCTTTATTTCCTGTCCTTGATCTATTTGGGTTTCTATTAAATTGGTAATGTCTATGTGGAATCTTTGCCTCACCCAGGATTACACATGGGCAGTTTATCCAGAGCATTAGGTCTGATGTTTTCCCTGTTGTCAAGACTAACTCATAAAATGGTATTTGCTAGTGACCTGTTTATTAGAGTGCATCATGCCCATCAGAGGGCATTTATTTAACTGTAGTGTCTAGATACTTAAGTCTTCAAGCAGGAGTGACCAGCTTAAGGTTCTTGATTCCCATTTGGGACTATGCCCTGTGACTGGTTTTATGCTGGCACAGGGACAGCTGGGTGGTCTGGGTTGCTGCAATCTATCTGCATACCTAGTCCAGCCAGGTGGTATCCCACCAAAACTTCTGTGGAGCTTTTATCCTCTCTTCCCTGGGAATTTCTGGAGCTCCTTTTTTCCATGGCTTTCTGAGGTATCCAGGTATATTGTGGCTCTCAGCCATACATAGCTTGTGATGTTTCAGGTTTAAAGTCGGGTAGTTTTGTCTATGTTGACCTAGGGAGAAATTTTTCATGTGTCCGGTAGTTATGTCCATAAAAAGCTTAGGTGTTACTGGAAATATTAACACAGGAAATTTAGCATCTTGAGTACCTTCTCTGTGTCTCTTTGAAGTTTCTCTTTAATATCAGGGTGTCTTTAGGGTTGTTGAAATGGACCTAATTGCACTATCTTTGGAGCAGAAGTTGTGCCTGACATCTTCTCTTTCACTTGTGTTCTGTGTGCCTTTGCACAGCTGCAGCTGAAGTTTGAGGCTTGGTGCTCTGTGCTGTGTGGTTAGAGGGTGGGGAAGGTGCTTGCTGCTGGGGATGTGGCATAAGCATGCAGCAGCCTTGGGAGAACTGGGTAAAGGGACCCAATTACTCACTACTGATTCTTTCACATTTATGGTATATCTGGCAGAGCCCTGTCAAGGCTGGTCTTCAGTTTGGTTTCCAGGTGTGCAGTGATTCCCCAGGAGGAGGGGTGCACTGCTTTGCAGCAAAAAGTACTGAGGTAGCTCACTGCATTAGGTCTAATGCTTAATCCTTTAATTTTCCAGGGGAAAAAAAATGAAACAGGAGTTTTAAACTTTGAGGACTCATCATGGAAGACTCAGAAGGACACCACTTCAGCTCGGCGGAAGAGGAAACCAGATACTGGAAAGAGCTGGCTGTGAAATACAAGCAGTGGTAAGGCACTGGCTTCGTTCCTCTAAGTTGTTTGATAGGGTGTCGTCATGGTTTAACCCCAGCTGGCAACTAAGCACCATGCAGCTGCTTACTTGCTCCCTCCCAGCGGGATGGGGGAGAATTGGAAGAGTAAAAGTGAGAAAACTCATGGGTTGAGATAAAGACAGTTTAATAGGTAAAACAAAAGATGCACACACAAGCAAACCAAAACAAGGAAATCATTTACTACTTCCCATTGGCAGGCAGGTACTCGGCCATCCCCAGAAAAGCAGGGCTCCATCACACGTAACAGTTACCTGGGAAGACACACGCTGTCACTCTGAAAGTCCCCCCCCCTTCCTTCTTCTTCCCCCAGCTTTATGTACTGAGCATGATGTCATATGGTATGGGATATCCCTGGGGTAAGTTGGGGTCAGCTGTCCCCCCTCCTAACTTCTTGTGCACCCCAGCCTGCTCGCTGGTGGGGTGAGAGGCAGAAAAGGCCTTGACTCTGTGTGAGCACTGCTCAGCAATAACTAAAACATCCCTGTGTTACCAACACTGTTTCGAGCACAAAACCAAGACATAGCCCTATACCAGCTACTATGGAAAAAATTAACTTTTTCCCAGCCAAAACCAGCACAGGTACATAAACACTGCATGCAAGGACATAGCACCACATAGGGGAGTAAATCTGTGCTGCTGTGGCACTGATGGTTTTGGTTCCCGCTCTGGTTTGAGTAGGACTGTGTGTGCTGAAATTGTGCCTCTAACTGCAGTCTGTTGGCAGCCTGGGTAAATGTAGCTCACTGCAGAACCTTGTTGGGGGTAGATGACCTGGGCCATTGCAGACAGAGAGATGCTGCTGTTCACTCTCTATCTCTGTGTGGATCAAGAATGGCTTGACAGCACATAGATGGAGGAGGATCCCTGGCTGAGAATGGACATGCTTTGCTCTTCCCTTTAGCTCAATGTGTTGCTGTAAAGGGTGAAGAAAATCCAAACTTTTTAGGCATTGATCTTAGTGTTGTTGAGACCTCTCAGTGCTGCTTGTTTAGCTTGCTGGAGGATTATTTCAATAGAATTGTTTAAGAATATAAGAACATCTTTCCTTCCATCTTTCTCTTTTTCTCACTTTATATTGCTAATCGAAAGTGGGTTTGTTCATATTTCCAAATAAATAATTGAATTAAAACCAGATTAAATATGCAGATGACAGTGGACAATGTACAAGCTAGAGAGCTACATGTCCTCAACATCTATAGCAGGAAGACAGACTTTAGGATTTTTCAATTTATTTGGGCTTTTTTTATTTGTTTACCAGTTTGCTATGGGGTGGCTTTCCATGCAAACATTTGCATATGGTCCTCTCTTCCTGTTGAATATGTATGTTTGGAGAAGGGCATGGAGCCTGCTACGTTAAAGGGCAGTATTTTTTCATCTTGAGTGTACAAGAGATATTTTTTTGTTCATTATGATGTGTTCTGTTGCTGGAATTGCTCTCTAGTGCTGAGAATACACAGGAGGAATTGCGTGAATTCCAAGAAGGGAGTCGAGAGTATGAAGCTGAACTGGAGACTCAGCTGCAGCAGACAGAGTCCAGAAACAGAGACCTTCTGTCAGAAAACAATCGTCTGCGAATGGAACTGGAGTCAGTTAAGGTAAGAGTGGATGATGCATACAGTATCTGTACATTCTAAGTGCAAAGGTGAATGAGACAGCTGTGTGCGGATTCAGATTGCCCTGTGGGCAGGGACTTTCAGCATTACAAAGAAATTGAACAGAAAACTGCAAAAAAGAAGGTCTTGAAAAATTAAGAAATGCCAGCTGTTGTCTGCTTTGAGGGAACTGGATACCTTGGTAATGTTCCTGAATCGCTGTTTGCAGGTTGTGGCTATGTGTCAGGATGGATTTGAGATGGGAGAAAATGGTTTGCAGTAGAGTGGAGAGTAAACATGAACGTAACAGCTGCTGTTCTGTTCCTCCTTCCATCTACTTAGTGCTTTTGTTCACAGCTTTCTTGCTGTCTGCATTGTGCAGACACAGATAGTATTGCAGAACAATCAAAATACAAGCCTTCCAGCTGTGTTCTTGTGTTATATAAGAGAACTCAGTACTTTTAAACCCTTTTTACATAGTTGTGTATTTATTATCTGGCATTCCAGATAAGCTGGGAAGCAGGAGCTGATGGGTGACACATCAAACTGAGAGGCATAAAAGAGTTTCAGTCCTGGTTTCATTACTGAATCTATCTGTACTTGGGGAAAAATAATTTATCCTCTTTACACTTGGTTAGCCTTCTGCGAAACTAACCAGCTGAAAAGCATTAACTTCCATAATTATAAAACGTAAGGGATATGAACTTACTGAGATAGAACTTCTTACCAGAGTGACTTAAGAAATAATGAAGCTATCTAGAGTATGAAGACTGAGTCTGCCTCACTTCAGTCTCATTAAAGGTGCTGCTAGTCCTCTGTGCTGGTTGACAGGTTTAGGAAATACTGGTAAGTTTTCTTAAACTTGAAAAAAAAATTGTCGCTGAAATTGGTGTGCCTTTTAAAAGTCTGATCTTGTTGGCCTTTTACTTAAAGGTGAGGTGTAGTCACACAAGAAACACTACGTTGTGTTTTGTAGGGCTAGTCAGTATCTGTGGAACCTGACATTAATTTAATTACAGTTCTACTCAATTGAATGCAATAAGGAGCTAATGGGAGTGAAGGTATTTGTATAAGTAATATAAGGTATTTGTATAAATAAGTGATTAATCACAGGTTTGCAATGCATTTTGTCTTAACTGTTGTCCAAATTACTGTCTTAAGGAAATACTCTTCTGTTTCAGGCAGATGTCCTGTCTGTCTAGCACCAACTTAGTGATCCCACCCCACTACTTGATAGCAAAACCTCCAAGACTTGTTTCATTGTATTTGTTACGTTGCACCGATCTTTGTTCTTGTTGTATTAGTGCCTTAGCAGTATTAAATGCTCTGCATGTTGTATGGGGTACTGGTCTACTGTTCCATGTAGCCACGTAAACCCATGGAACCTGATGGGTTTGGGGAGAAGATGTAAGTTTCTAAAAAAACCAAAAAAGACAAAACCAAAAAACTCCCAAGCCCCTTGCAGTTCTTGTAATTGATGAGGGTGTGGGCTATTTTCTTTCTCTAGAGGAGCTGGGATGAGAGGAGGGGACAATGTACCAGCCAAGAATGAAAATAGTAGGAAACAACATAAAACCTCAAAGTGGAGGATAAACGCATTTTAGAAAATCTTAAATTATTCTTCACAGTAGATGACTTTATTAAAACATATTCTGCTTGAAACAAACCTTTTAACAATTGGCTATTCATGCAGCCTGAAAACTGCAGTAGCAGCCTGCAGTGAAGGAACAGAGACTCCATTGATGGCCAGATCAGCTGATAGTTTATTACAATTGGCTAAAAACAAAGACTTAAACCTTGCAGTTCTGGTCTTTTATCTGAATCAATTCAAGAGCAAAGCATTGAACTCGTGAAGCTATTGAGCAGCGGTGTTAACTGAGCCCATCAAGGGTTGGTGTCTGCATCTAGGTCAACACTAGTGAACTTTGCCAGGCCCACACAGCTTGTGGTTTTGAGCTTACCAGCCGTGTGTCTGTGCTTGCTCCCCACCCAGAAACCAGAGTTCACACTACCTAAAAATAAATGGAAAAAATGCTTTTGAGTGTTTGTTAAGAGAATCCTGAAAAGAGAGTTGAAAGTAATCTGCCTCTTAGAGCTTGGGGGCTCTTAAATTCAGCATGTAACTATGTTTCAGAGATCTGGAATTATGGCAGTGTCACCACACTGTAATCAAATAGGAATTTCTTAATTCGGAATGGATATCTCTTTCCCGCGTCCTTGTCTATGCATTTCATGTGCTAAAACAGCTCTCTTGAAATTATCAGTCATGCTAGACTATGTGCCATGGTTTTCAAATTCCAATGCATGGATTTGTTTTCAGTGACTTCAAGTGTGTTGTACTTAAATTCTGGATGGAGAAAGCACTTCAGGAATGCTACTTATACAGCAATCTTGGAGTTTCAAAAAAAATCACTGGCATGTTGAATTGATATGATAGCAAGGTGGTGGAGTGTAAAGCATTGGCGTAGATGGTGTGCTGTGAAGCTTTCCCTGTCACATGATGTGGAGCTAACTCTGCATATAGCAGCAATAGCAGGAGAGAGATATTGGATGGAGAAGCTAAGCCTTCTTCCCCGCCTGTGCATCCTTTAAATGTACCCTTGTATACATGCTGTAAAGGGAGACTTTGTTTTAGGTTCACGTCCAAAGCATGTGGCATAACTGCACCTGAAATGTTTTGTGATCTAGAATTCTGAACCTGCTTTGGGCTAATAAAACCACAAGGGCAGTGGAGATTCCTCCTGGTTCCCCAGCAGTGTGTAATGGTGTCACACTTGGATATATTTTTTTTTCCTTCTTGTTATTTAGGCTCCTAAATCCTGCTTGACTTTTTTATTAGAGTTGAAAATAAGTGGTTTCTCTCGCATCCTGCTTTGTGTTGCTAAAGCTCTTGGAGCACAGAAATTATTCTGAGTCTCACTGTCTGGGAGAGTAAGGAATGGCACTGTGTCTGGAGGTCAGGACCTGCTCCCCAGCAGCATTGTTTGATAAGGAGTGACAGGAAGAGCTCTTGTCTGCTGACAGCCAAGAAGTATGTGAGCAATTTGCTTTGGTGGCATTTTACTATATGTAAGGTGATGTTTCTCAAAAAACTTCACAGCATCTGCCTCTGCCTTTAAAGGGGCTCAGACAATGCCACAGAAAGAGAATGTGCATTGCTAAGTCCCTGATATGCTGCTTGATTTGCCTTTGATTAGGAAAAGATTGAAATGCAGCATTCAGAAGGATACAGGCAAATCTCTGCGCTGGAAGATGACTTGGCACAGACAAAAGCTATTAAAGATCAACTTCAGAAATACATTCGAGAACTCGAGCAAGCAAATGATGACTTGGAAAGAGCAAAAAGGTGACCCACCTTCTGTGTTTTCTTTTTCCACCTTTGTTGTGTCCTGTGAGTGTGGTGCTACTGAGCTGTCTGTGATGCTGTGCTTGTTAGCGCTGCCTTTCTGAAATAATCACTTAGGTGATGATTGTCGTGAAGATGTTTGTGGCAGGTGTGAAATGTGACACATTTTTTTCCCTTCTGCTCCCCCCACTGCAGTCTTGCATATCTTACAAGTTAAATGAAAAATAATAATGAAACAAAGCTAACAAAACAAAACCACAATGTTGCCTCTTTTCTTGTGAGAGGGGAAGTTCCTCTATGTGCTTGAAGGATCTGTTAGGGACATCTTGTGCACTCTTTTTCAGAGCCACTATAATGTCTCTGGAGGATTTTGAACAGCGTTTAAACCAGGCTATTGAAAGAAATGCTTTTCTGGAGAGTGAGCTGGATGAGAAAGAAAACCTGCTGGAGTCTGTGCAGCGCCTGAAAGATGAAGCTAGAGGTTAGACAGAAATTACTTGTATCCTTCCCTTTCTCCCCTCCTGGCTTGTAGCTGTTCATCCTCTCCGTATCTCTTAGAGCTTGTCTTTTAAGTTTGCATCTTTTAAATCTGCTATCTGAAAAGTAGAAGCAAATGAGGAAGCTTCAAGACTGTTCCTCCTGACTCATTGAATTCCTGACCTTGTTCCAGAGCAGCTCACAGAAACAGAAATCTGTTCCAGCCTTCTCCTAATCTGTGGTGATGCTTCAGGGCCTTAGGGGGTTAAGAAGAGCAAGTCCAGCTGGACCATGTGCTGGTCTGGCTTTTTGTAGCCCATGAAAGTCAGCTTTAATAACTGTTAACCTCCTTGTTTCCTGGCCTGTAAAAAGTGGAGTCAATGAAACACTAATGGGGCAGTAAAACAGGAGGACTGTGACTAACTTCTAGTTACCTTTGAATAGCTTTGTGTGCTAGCTGCTTGGTATCTGTCAATAAGGCTGGGTGAGAAGAGAGAGACCATGGAAAAACACTTTCTATTTTCAGCTCTGCTCTGATTCTGTGCCCTTGACTGGTTTCCATAAGCTACAGCCAGGCTGTGGGACGGAAGTGCTCTATCCCATGGCTAGATAATGGTGTGGCTTCCACCCAGCCTCAACTCAAGTTTCCTTTGTGTGGAAACCAGGGTATAAGAGAAAAGGGTAAAGTAGGCAGGATCTCAACCTGCAGAGAGCTGGAATGTAACCAAGGTGTGCCAGGTTGCCTAGCCTCAGTCTTGATGTGCCTCTGCTTACCAGCCTGTAACATTTGGAAAGGAGTTAGTTCCCTGCCTCGAAGGGAGCCTTGTGAAAGTGTATGAAAATTAAAGCCAGATAATAGCAACTGAACTAATGCCTCAAAAACATCTTGAGCCACAATCCTAGAAAAGCCTTTAGTGATCATCCAGATTTTGAACATATGCCTGGAGTAATCTTTATAAGGATAAGTGACTTTACTTCACCTCCACAAGGGGAGCAATCCTATCCTTTGAGCAAAACATACTCTCACCTGTTTTTATCTTGGTGGATACATACTCTTGCTTTAAGGCTTGCTTTGTGTTGCTTCTTTCATAGATCTACGACAAGAGCTTGCAGTGCAGCAGAAACAGGAGAAACCCAAAACACCGATGCGAGCTACCCTGGAAACAGAAAGAACAGACACTGCAGTTCAAGCATCCTTATCTGTGCCTTCAACTCCCTCGGTGCACCGGGCACCCAACATCAACATACCTACCCCTGCGACATTTAGGAGAGGTGAGTGACAGGAACCAGCACAGAAATACTACTTGATGCTCTTGTTTTTACTCTGGTTTCTGGCTAAAGGAGGAATTAGAAGAAGGGAGCAGAGTTGGGTGTTTCAGTTAAATATACCTAAATCCGGTCACTGTCGTCTCAGTATTCATAGACTGTGATTTTAGGGGTTTATTCATAGGCTGTTCGTTTCTATTTGACTTGAACTGTCCAGTAATAGTAATTGTGAGGGACAAGATGAACTGTTGGAACATAGCTGTCCCAGAGATTGTTGGGCTAACTTAGGGCAAGGATTTTAAAAACTTCAGTGTGATCTTTAATATCACACGTACGTTTCTTGAATGGGCTTCTCTGTGAGAGTAGGTGCTCTTAGAGAGAGGCTTTCTTTTTACCCTAGAACAGCAGGACACTGACAACTCATCCTAGGCTGTCTGTACTAAGTGACTGTATCTCTGCTTTCATGTCAATATCGGTTACTTATTTTTTGTGAGCACTGATTATTTCAATATTTCAAATCTCTAACTCTGTCTTCTCACTTAAAAAGCCAGAAATTTGTGTAACGGTGTGCATGTGTATGCATAAATACATGGAGTTGTACTGTCACATTTTAATGATTTGATGTTATACCTCTGAGCACTAACAAAGTTTGATTGTGGGCTTTGGTATGCTTAATCTGAAATTGTGTTTTGTGTGGAGGAATTAATGCTTCTGAAAAGTGAGAAGATTTGGAGATTTGTAGTAAAATGAGAGATGATGGTCCTCCCTGAGGACACATCCCTCCCGTCCCACTGCAGCAACAGAGATGCAGAGTAGGCTGGTGTAACAGATCTCTAGAAACCCAAGCTGTAGCATGGCTAGAGATTTTAGCTTAGGACAGTGTAACTTGGGCTGTCTCAGGGAGACAGGGCTTCATATTCCTAATGAATATGAAAGATCTGGAGGAGAGATACAAAAAGGTGAAGATATTGATGTCTCCTCTGCTCTGTATGTCAGGCTGTCTTCTGACTTCCAGTGTCAAAGCTTTTTTTTTTTTTTTTTTTTTATTTTAAAATGAGTAAAGTGTCCTTCTTTAACCTGCCCTCCAGGTCTTGAAGACAGTTATGGTGCAACCCCACTCACACCTGCTGCAAGAATATCTGCACTTAACATCGTGGGAGACTTGCTGCGAAAAGTGGGGGTGAGTGATTACATGCTAGCCAATGCTCTTGGAAAGGTAGATCTGTCTGAAACTGCAGCCAGCACTATTTGTGCTGCTGCTCAGGGCAGACTGGAAAGCGTATCTTGTCCCCAGGTTAGCTAAGCATGGCCTTGAAATTTGGTCTGGACTTTGTAGGTTTCTCACTAACCCCCAAATAAAGATGGATCCTGCTCTGCTTTTCTAAGATCTTATCCACATGGTGATAAGATCTTCCTCTACAAATTTCTGAAAGCACATGTGCAGAAAGAATAAATTGGCATGAGTAAATTAAGAAGGGATCTGCTCCCATGAAAGGCGGAGAAGAAAGCAGGATGGTGCCTGCTGTCCAGAGGGCTTCTGGTAAAATTTGCCTTAAGAGTCCAGTAGTCTTTTGAGCAAGGTCTAAAGTCATGTTAAGCTGTAGTTTGACATTTAAGGTAGTGCTGATGCTGGAAAAGTTATGCCGTGACTTCCTTCTGTTTTCTCACTTATGCCCTAGTGCTGTGTTGGCACAAGCATTTGTATGACTTTTTGATGGGCTGAGCTGCAGAACTGATACAGCTGGAGAATAACCCAGCAACAAAGGTGGAGTGATCTAGGGTGAGAGCATGGGTATCTGTGGCTCAGTTCCCACCACCTAGTACATACAACCTACTATGCATCTAGGGAAGCAGGTAGCTCAAATGAACACTTAGTAATCTAAGAACTGATATTTGTAAGAGATGTCAACACCTCCCTGAGAAGCTGAAGATTTTGTGTTCCTGCTGGTGAACAGCATCGACTCCTCAACCTCCCCTATGGAAATAGAGATTCGGCTTTAGAGAGATCTCTTCAGAAATTCAGAATTCATGTGGCACTGGGTTTCTCTACTAGACAACTAATTCTAAAAGAAACAAACAAAAATGTGCCACAATGCCATCTTGTGAAAGGTAATCTGACACCCGCCTCATCTGTGTTTGTTTATATCAGGCTTTAGAGTCCAAACTTGCATCTTGCCGAAACTTTGTGTATGACCAGTCTCCAAACAGAACCACGGTGTCCATGTACATGAACAGAGATGTCCTTGAAACACGCTTGAGTCCGCATCAGCCTCTGTGTGATACAGGGTGAGTGCTGTTCTCTGCTCTTGTGTCTTAGTGAGAACTGTTGGTGTTAGAACATAGTGACTGTACTGTTCTATTTAGTATTAAATCTTTGTTTTGGTAGAGACAGATTTGGTGTCAAAAGATGAGAAATTCAGTTATTCAGGATTGTGATTTGAGTGTTTCAGACCAGTTTGAAATTTGGAATCACTAGCTGCTGAAATTTGAAGGCTAGCTGGAATAGAGTTTTGAAAACCACAAATTCAAAGCAAACATAATACACATATTTTTTTATAAACCCAGTGTTTAAATGGGACAAAGTACAACAGAGGAGATCTTGCTTATGGGCTCAATTTGTTCAACGCTTTATGTTCTTGTGCAAGTGATGTCTCAGGAATGTTATGGCATGTACCACAGTTAAGATTCTCTTTTATGGGAGAACTGGAAAAAAGGCAAATTATGGGTTCACTCTAACCAGAATGCTTTACAGTTGCTAAGATGTGTTTCCAAGGTCCAACTGATGGGAAATTACTCAAATTATAAATTTGTCTGAACACTTGAACTGGTTGTCTTTTTTTAAACAAACGAAGAAAAATCAGCAAAGTTATTGCAAATTGCAGTTCAGTGTCTGCTTAAACCCTGCCAATCCTGTGCTGCACATTCTTTAGATTCTCTGTAAATTAAGCACCTATAGTACAGTTTGTTCCAGACTTAATTATTCAGCTAGACCCTTGCGCTGGGAACACTGGTTTGTCGTGTTACCTAGTGCCCAAAGTTGTTGTGTGGAAGGAGTGCTCCACATCGTACTTGCTATCCCAGCCTGGGGAGAAACCTCATGAAAGCTCCTACAAGAAAGCCTCAAGGACCATATATTTACGTATTCATGCAGCTGATTATACATCTACTGCTGTAATGCTAGAACTGAAATTCTAATACCTGTAAAAGATAGCTTCTCAATACTTAGAGGGAAATGGAGCCCTGTGTTACAGTGGAAACTCAGCCCAGTTAAGTAGCGGGCTCCCTTCATGCTCAGAGTGATACTCTTTTATCTGCTGGTTTCTCAAGCTGAGTGATGTACTCTGGAAGTGACCAGTTACTCTGAAGATGGTAAAATTGAGCAAGAAAAGCACTAACTTCTATTTTGTATTTGCAGGTTAGTGAAACGCCTGGAGTTTGGAACACGGCCTTCAAATATTCCAGGACCAATGAGCCATCCCTCGCAAAGTGTTGTCAAGATGCTGTTGTGAAAATCCTGGCTTTGGAGGAGGGGAAAAAAAATTTAAACTTTAGTTGCAAAGAGAATATTAATAAGCAATCAGGCAGCAGTCTTGGGTAGGTGAGAACTGAACAAGAAGCTGCAACTTGCAGTGGCCTCCTGTGGCCTTGCCCAGTATGGCCTCTCAGCCAAGTTCTGTGGGTAGTGTGATAAAGCAGTGCTGCCTGGCAGTGCAGGACTTCGAATTGCTTCCTGCATCAGTTCCTGTATGTAGCTCCTTGAAAGTTGCTTCTTTTGACACTGCCAGTCAAAGCCATTGTCCCTCAACCTACAACAGAGACAGTATTCCCTATGCAGCTCCTTAGGCTTGGCTTTTGGTGTTAATACAGCATCTTGGTGTTCTGGCTTAAATTCTGGTTGTGCTGGCTTTCAGTCATCGGTGTTCTGTGTTGCAGTCACCTGAACTAGAGGAGTGTTTTTATGTGGAGAAAGGTGTATTGCTGTGGGGAAGCTGCTCATCTCTTTGTGTGATGTTTGCTGGTCAGAATCTTGCTACACAAAAAGTTGCCTCCATAGTGGTGAGATGGTTTTGTAAGCAATGATTTGCCATTAAGAACAGGTCATGGTTAAAGGTGAGGAATGTTTAGTACTTAGAGCACTTGGGAGATCCCAGAGCTAATAGCAAGGTAGGAGACTTTGGACTGGCTTAGCATATTTTTTTTTTTTTTTTTTTCTCCCCCCCCCCCGCTCCCCCCCAAGTTGTGGCTCGTAAAGCCTGGCTGTTGTAGGAAACAAGAGACCCGATTAAGTTCCTAGTTCTAACATCTTAATAGGTGGGTTTTACTGCTTTCCAAACCTCCCTTATTAATGTGCCTTGGGTATTAGTGATTTTTTCTTGTTTTATTTTTTCTATGAGAGTATATGCTTTCAGCTGTTACTTAGACATGTTTTTTTTAACCTCAAAAGTCCTTTATGCTAGACAAGTGTATACAAGTAGAGAAGTATTTTTAAATCTTTTATTTTTCCCCTATAGAATATTATTGCATTTTGGTTTGTTTTTTAAATGGAGTAAGTTCACAGTATTAATGTACCTTATGGAAGCCTGTACTCGCAAAAATTATCATGACTAAACAATTTTATGTTTTTTGTAGGGGGTGGGGTGGGGGGAGCTTACTTGACAAATGAATGCATAAATGGGTTTGGGTTTTTTGTTTGTGGTTGTTTTTTTGTTTTTTTGTTTTTTTTTTTAAGAAAATGCTGTGAAAACAGCCACTGATGCATCTATTTCTCTGGAATAGGAAATAACCACAGATCATTCCCATTATTCAGGCCATCTACAAAGTTGGCTTAACTGGGGAGCAGAATAAAGCTTATTTTGAATGCTAGTTGTTGAATCATTTTGAGTTTTTTTGCAGGTTGTCACTATGGTTTATGCACAGATGTTTGCTACCAGTTTCTCATCTGTTTCTAATTAATGAAGCTGAAAGACACATTGCTTTGCTGAATCATATGCAAAGATTTTCCTACATCTTTCTTCTCATGGTTTCCTACCCTAAGGAATGTAAATATTGCCATTGCTAAAGATGCCTCTGGGACTGACATGCTTGTATTGGCATTGCTCTCTCTTAAAATCTTGAACTCTGGGCTGTTCTAACATAATTTTTGTCCTTTCCTCTCACACAGGGAGTTGACATTTTTCTTACCCATGAGGAATAGAAGCACGTGAGTTACATTGTTAGTTATGCTGACACATGGACAATGGTTCAGTGGACTGTGTAGCCTGCAGGGATCAGTCAAGACAAGTTGTATTTTCCTTAACCTGCCAGAATTTGCCTGCTTGGTGAGCAAGTTGGCTTGCAATCAGACACAACATTGAGACAAGGTAGAAAGTTGGAAAATCATGACCATGCTAGTATTATATATTTTACAGATACATTATTAATATGACTACAGACATAATCAGACAATGGGTGGATATGCTATTGAGAATTGTCAAAATAATTTAGTCCAGAACAGTCACCTCTGTAATGATGCAGAGAGGAACATTTTTTGGGGGGAGAGAAACTTTAATGCAGCCACTGCTGCAGAAGGGTGCTTTCTGTGGTGTTACTAGAGAAACTCTGACTCCTGTTTTGTCACAAACTTTGCAGAACAGGGACTGGAACCTGAGTGTCTCAAGTGATAGGGCAGTGGTCTAACCATTGGACCAACCTCTACCATTATACATATGAATCTTCTAGATTAATTCCTTTTAGAAGGGCTCCGTGTTTAGTTTGCTGATTCTGCTCCAAACATTGGTGCTTAAGACCATTCTGTGTGAAGTTTGGCTTCCTCAGTCTCCTTGGTCCCACACATGCAAGGCTCACAAGCTGTGTCCTTAACAGCCAGCTCTTGAGCATATTTACAGAGCTGGGCTGCCTAGCCCATCAAGCAGTGAAAGGTCTTATCTGATAGCTCCTAATCCCCCTTCTCTGCAGCTTGTCATCTTAATTGCTCTAAATGGATTCTTACTTAAACTCTTCCTTTACCCTTTCACAAGCCGAGAGAATTCTTTGGGCTCTGATTCTGTTGGCTAAATGGTGCCTAGTCTGAACTTCCAGTTCATGATCTCTCTGCCTTCTGCAACAATGCTTAGATTTAGAAAATGATTGCATGAGCTGTCAAGGTGGATGTTTTTGCATGACTTGCTCTCCTTGTAGTCACGCTGCTTAAGGTTCACTTGCTGTACAAGCTAAGGCATCGAATAAAGTTGCAGTAATCGATTCAGAGTAATTGTACACTTGGCTCTGCTGTGCATGGCCCTGTACTGCCCCAGCCTGACCACAAAGCTAGCTGCTGTCTGAAAGTGTGAGACCTGCATGGATTTGTGGTAGGTCCTAGTAGTTCCCAGGCATGGGCTGTGGTCCTGTTGGAGTGCTCCAAAACCAAAAAGTAACTGCGCATTGATCCCTTAATGCAGAATAGCTTGGCTTGGATCAACGTATTCAGTGTAGGCTGCTGTTTCTGTTTTCAGCCTGCTTTAAAGGCATTAGTTGGAAATATCCCTATGCATACAAACTTCAAGGGTGGGTTCAGTTGCCTAAATACAGACACATAGGGCCCTGCCTGTTTTCCAGCTGCTGCACCAGAAAGCTGCAACTCTTCTGCATGTCCTGTGTCATGACTGTCAGCCCTTGGATACCTCCTAGGGCATCTCAGTTAGCATCATGTGTCCTTGAGGTAACCAGACCTCTCCCAAGTACTTCATGTCATTTTACATTCAGCTCTGTGTACATTTTTTTTTTTATTCCTTCAAAAGCAATTGCTCAGGAGAAAATCAGGATTTTGTTCTAACGGTAACAGATGACTCTTTAGAAAAAGTATTTGAGTTGTAAAGAAGCTCTACTGCATGCCCCATTGCCATCAAGCATGCTGTATTGCACCCGAGTAACACCTGTACACAAGAATACTAGAGTAGTTTTTGTAGCCTTTTATTAGTGTGTAAGCACATCCATGGTGCATATAAAACTGTAACAGTTGACTTAATTTGAACAAATGATATTTTATTTTTCTGTAAGTGATTAAAAAGGCACTTCCACGTTGTGAATGGTGCATCGGGGTATAGTAACCCTATATTAATCGAATACTCAAGACAAAATGAAAGTTTAAGAAAAGGTTAACTGACCAATGCCTGCTTCCCCCCTCCTCCCCCCTCCCCCCCCAACAGTCTAACAAATCCTGTGTAAACTATAGTTCACTGGCATTCAAATCATCTGAGCTACTAGAACTCACTTTCTGGAAGATTCTCAAAGTGAATTACTCTAGGTGTTAAAAAACCCCCACCTTCTCAAATACACTTCATGGTAAAATAAGTTTTGGAGTACTTTTACTGTCAACCTATACATTGGAGATAAGGCAGTTGTGCTTTTATCATTGTCAGAGGAGTGGGTGTATGTGACCTTGACACTAAGAGTAGACTTATACAGTGCTAAATACCATCCTCCTTCCCCTTGCTGCAGTGCAATTTTTTAAGCGTGTTTATTCACTGGCTTTTGTTCCATTGAAATCTCCATCTCTTGCATCCATTTCTTCATCACCACCTTCTGTTGCATTCTCAATTACTCTTCTGCCTCCAGATCTACGGGGTGGGGCAAAAGATGCTGGTTCATTTCCCCTCCTGCAGTAAGAGGGAAAAAAAAAATTAAAAAATCAGGTGTTGGGTCATTTGCAGTCCTCACAAATAAGCACAGAGTTTTGTAACAGTACCTGTGGGGCTGATGGGACCTGTTTTTAAATGCAGAACAGCCGAGAGCTGTGGGTCTCTAATACAACTTTCTGTTCTGTAGCACATAAAAGTAATTTGTGGACAGGTTGAGACTCCCAGTTGCTTGGAACTGTGATGGGATTCCTGTTCTTGTGCTTAAAGTTCTCCTCTAAATAGTTTAATTTGCCCCAACCCCCTCCCTCTTCCCTTCATTTTACTGTTTTCCCCTATGGGGACTGTATGATGTGCTTGGAAGGAATGGGAAAGGGGGCTGCTTGTACCCATGACAGCAGGGGTGTGTCCTTCCTGTCTATTTAGAAGAGCAAGTAGAGAGAGAACTTGTGCTGAATTTTTGATCTGCAGCCTGAATAAGCCCACCAGTTACTGAAGGCCCGCGAGACCTGGGACTGGAGCAGTGCTGTGGATGCCAGCAGGCATTTTTGAGCTCACAGTCCCTCTCTGCAAAGGCTGTGTTGGCCAGAGCACCACAGGTGCTTTAACATCTACAGCATCCTAGGCTGTGAGTAGCTCCAATCTCTTTCCCAATGGAGAGAGGAAACTGTTGCTGCTTTGGAACTGTGTTGTAACTCAGGTTCTGACACTGAGCAGTACAAGTGTCTTGCAGAAGAGCTTACAGAAAATTCTGTTTCCCACCTTACCCCCTTTTCCTCTCCCATCTCCCATATATTTCGTAGCCACAGCCCAAGGCAGGGACACTTTGGTCCTCAAGGTTAATTTTTTGAGGAGGTATGAGCAAGTGAGACGGAAGATCTTGGCCTCCGTTGCTGTTGTGCTACAAAACGCTTACGTGTTGTAACATGGCCTCTCACTTGCCTCTCTTTGTAAAGGCTTGAGACCACAGACATAAGCAATAAAATAAATTCATGATAACTGAATGTTGTGCCAAAATTACTAATTTAGTTTTAAATACATCCAACTCTGCACTTTTGGGTACAGCAATTGTGCATAAATATTTAAAGGCTTGTCTTGTCCTTGCAAAAGACTAAGCCGGTCTTGTCCTTTCTGAAGCAGCTATTTAAGTCCAAAGTTCAGTCTTTTATACAAGGGAAGCGGGTAGGAACGTTGGCTGGACTATGTACTTCAGAAGCACTAATCTGTGTTTCCAAGGTGGAAATGTGACATGAAGTCTGTCCACAATTCTGTCCTTCAACTTCAGTGTAAGCAATTAGCTGGATAATAAAGCTTCATTTAAGAGCTGCTGTTAGTTAACTTCAGCTGTTCTGGTGCTGATGGCATGTATTGAACATAAGGGTATGTCAGTTCTGTGCTGGCATGTGCTTGACAGTCTAACAGCAGTGTCTGCTATTTTATGATAGTAGATATTTGTTATTGGTATTTAACAAGAAAGTTCTAGTTAGGTTAGTAAAGTCATTAATTCTTGTCAATAAAGACCTCTGTCTTCACCGGCAAGAGCTCTTTATCCCCTTGGACTCCTGCTCTCCGAACTCAATTACTCACGAGTCATTTGTAAGAACTCTTTTTTTAACGCTTTAGTAATACACTGAAGTGCTCTAGGAGAACATGGGGCTGGTGGGGAATAACAGGAGGAGTCTAACCAAATTATGCAGTACAGTTTTGGCTACAAAGAGGTGAACTCCCGATCACACACTAATGACTTATTAACATAAACCGTTGCAATATGCATAAACTTAATACTTTAAACTGGTCTTGGCCCTGTGGATAAACACTTTTTGTTTATATCTTAAACAGGTTTATGGGTATGATAATATTCATGTGGTCATTTGCATTAGTACCTTTAGAATAATGTGTATAGTTGAGACAAGCCTTAAGCATTAGTGTTTGCTTAGCATCTTTATATTTAATCTACCTTTGAACAAGTGCTACTGGAGTAGTGCTTGAATAGCAGTCTGACTGGAAATATTAGGCTGACTAAAAGGCACATGCAAGGACAAGACATCATCTTTAAATATTTGTGTATTCACAGCAAAATCCAGCATATGTAAAATAGAAGATATACAAATATTACAAGGCAGTAGCTCTTTAATTTTTGCAACAGCAGGTATTATTCCTATCTCCAGAAAGTGTGATAAAGTATAATATAATGCTGTGCTATGTTAACATGTCAATATTAATTTCTGTGTCCATGCTTTGTGTTTTAATAGCAGTAGACAAACAACGTAATGTCTGCAAAATAGCTCTAAAAGCTGAAGTAATAACTCTTTGTAAGCAATACAGGCACAGAGCACTACGTAATGAAAGGCAAGATTTTTTCCTTTGTCTGTGATTGTGTGGTGTAAGTGTGATAAATCACATGCAAGTAAGATCTTCCCAAATCTCAGGTGAGTTAGACAGGATCTTACCTTAGAGTCAGCATTACAATATGTGTAAGAACTACTGTGAAATTCTAATGACATGCTGTGACACTTCATATTCATTAGTCCTTTTAATCAATTTTACTAATCAATGGTGTATTTGATTTGAAAAATTTTAATCTTTGTGGCTGTGCACAAAGATGAGGTGCAAAAAAGACAATTTTCATGCAGAAAAATCCAGAGTACTTTATTAGGTACTCTGTTGGTAGAGCTTGTGAGAATGCAACGTTGGTAAGTCTACAACAGTACATAACCTGCTTGTAAGAAAGATGTATTACTGATGAACAGTTTTCATAAAACAGATTAATGCCAAGATATCCAAGCCTTCGCAGTTTGCAGAAACCTCACATAATTTTTACTTGGGCCAAAGAAAATGGAAATTTGTGCAACACAAGCTAGCTGCAAAGTTGAAGGCATGGTACCTGCTTAGTCATGCGAAGGTTCCTGTGTCCCTCTGAAACAGAGATAGAGAGTCCCGGGCAGTTATACTAAGCACACGGTCATGATCAGGGGTAGGTAGATTACTTTTAAATAATTAAACAAAGTACATTACAGCCAATTACATTACATTTAGCTAAAACAAAAATGAGCCTTATGCTATTCTATGTGAAAAGGGCTGGACACAGCCACTCCTTTGTAAAGCAGCCAGGAGCATGCACCACCCAGGATGGTGCTAATGGAAAAGGCTACCACATCCCTAACTCTTCACTTTGAAGTAAATCCACATCTGAAGGTTCATGCATGTTACTGGTAAACACGTTGGCAAACCGCTTCAAGAGCACAACTAGGCAGGTGCTTTACTTTCATCTGAAACACTGTTGGGTTTGGGTAGAAAGCAGTTTTATGGTGTAGTGAGGTAGATAGAGCAATTTCCTTGTAATTCAAGTCAGCCTCTATTTCAGTGAGTTGGTGTTTTCAAATGCAGTGAGTGCAGGAGAACTCGGGTATGTAGCTGACTTACCACAGCTTTATCTTTTTCCTAGTCAGTTTTAACAAGAAAATGCAAAGGGACATTCTGATCTTTTCCTTGGTCTGATGACACTGAACCCCTTTGCCTTTTGTCGCCTCTGATGTTGTCTAAGACTTTTTATGGTCATTGTGTGTGAGTTGTGCATGTGTGGAAGTGTGGAGAGCACAAGCATTTCTACCCTTTTGTGACTACAATAGATACAGCCATTATATAAGGAGGAGGAGTGTTTTGAAAAGCAACCAAGCCTAATTCTGTTCCTATTTAAGCCAAGAGGAGTTTTGATTAGAAAAAGAGTAAGGTCTGTGCTATCACAGCTCATCTCTCAGCTGAAATCCTGAGACTGCTGCAGTCTATGAAAAGCACTTCAAGACTGGCCTTTTGTTGTATCTGCCAAGCTAATACAAGGAGCGAGTAACTTTGCAGCGTTGTCAGTGTCTGTTCTTTATTAAACAGATTTTTTTTTCTCTTTTCTAGTTTAGTTCCAAATTTCAAGGCTGTTAATGAGTGGGCATGGCTATCCCAAACAAGGGCACTCTACCTGAGCTTGCTCTTCAGTGCTGCAACCTCACGGCCCAGGGCTTCATTACTCTCAGTAGCTTCATCCAGCTCTCTCTGCAGCTTCCTGCGGTTTGCGTTGATACGCTGAGACTCTTCCTCAGCCTCCTCCAGCTGCCTTTTCAGTTGCTTGAGTCGTGTGTTGCCCTTCTCGGCCTAAAGGGAAATTTTAGAGTAATGTTTTAATTCAAAATGGATCTAATAGCTTTACATTCCTCATTCCTCACTCTTGTGAGTTTTATGGAAACATGGCCTGAATCAAAGATAGAAGCTTAAAATCTAAAAAATGTAAAAATAACTTTGCTTTGTGTGAGTTCCTTTTGCTGACAGATACTGTATTCAGACGCTACCTCATTTGTTGTGCTGCACAGTCCTACCTCTGCTTTTCTGGCTTGCAGGTTAGTGTGCCTTAGGTAAACCTAAAAGTTTTAAACAAAATGTGTTCATCATCTCCATTCATATACTAATAAGGATGTTGTGCACAGTCCTCTGTGCTGACTGTGCAGTGAGACTGTTGCAGCTGGCTGGTTGACAAGGACTAGTGCTTTGGCACCTGACTCAGCATGGAAAGAGAGTTATATTCTTCTGTCTTTTAGCAAAGGGTTGTATAGCTCTCCCAGTATAGAAAACAAGCAGACAGTCTGCTTTCTAGAGGGATATTTCTTTAAGGCAGAACATAGAATCTTCCTTTCTTAGGGTAAAACCTGAAAATCCCTGTGTTCCAGACTAAGACCCTCATGACAGTCTGATACCTGATCTTTGTACTGCTCCGCTTGCTTTCTCTCATCCTCCACCTGCAGCAATGCATCCTTCAGCTTCTTGTCCTTCTGGCGCAATGTCTTGGCTGCAGCCTGCTTCTCTCTGGAAATGACAATGCAACATTTGGTGATGTGGAAGGTCTGTAGTCTTCACCTGCCTCAGGCATGTTGCTCATGAAACTGGCACCAAGGATCTATATGTTAAAGGCCTTATTGAATTTAATAGATGAATTCTAAGCAAAACTTAAAGGTCATGTTCTTCTGATCATAACAAATATGTGTCTGCTGTAAGCTAGAGGTGCTCCAGGAGATCTGTACTAAAACACAAAGCGATTTCCTCAAGAAATAATCCTACAAATGGCACAATGTGCTATGACAGTTAACCTGGCAGGGTCATAGGGCAGTTACTCTACAATGTAGGGGAGCGGATTCTTGCCTTTGATACCAGTAGAACTTTTCAGCAATAAAATGGTTCTTAATCAGAACCTCTAACAACTCCAATTCGTGGCCGTATGTCTAAGAAATGTTAAGTGAGGGAGAGACTTTACTAAGCCTTAATGGCAATGAGAGCCTGATGACAAATCCTGTATGCCTTTGTTTACTTTGTCTCATTAACTGGAACAATGAATGGACAGCTGTGCTCCTCTGGGAGACCAGTACCTGGCTTCCTGTTCCAATTGCTCTTCAAGAGAAGCAATTTTGGCCTCCAGAGCAGCAATTGTAGTTTTGAATTTGGACTTCACAGCTCCCTCCATCTCCTGCAGCTTACTCTTCAGCTCTTTGTTCTGTCTCTCCAGTTGCTGCCGAGCATTTTCGTTCTTCTGTGCAGTTGAGCGCTCTGTTGCCAGCTCATTGTTCAGCTGCTCTGCCTGCAAGGATGAGAATGGATGCTGTAAAAAGTGTTGCATGCTTTCAGAGAAATGACAGGTGGCAATTTGGGGTGGTAATTCTCCAAATATTTATTCAGAACCCAAAATGGCTTTCGCTGGCATGCAAACAGAAAGTGACACATGCTGAAATGAGCTGTACCTGCTGTACTGCTTTCCTCATGCGATCACCCATTGCCTCTATGTTGCTTTGCTCCTCTTCTAGCTCTTCCTCCAGTTGGGCAATTCTTGCCTCCAGGCGCCGTTTCTCATCCTGAAGGCTTGTCCTGTAAGTTAGTAAGTGTGTAGTTATGGCTGACCAAGTTGAATGTGTCTGAAACTATTACAAACTGCCGATAATTCATAAAGAAAAAGAGAAGTAGATATTTCAGTGAAACTAGTCATGTGTGTATGCATATTGTGTTGTCAAGACCAGATGGCTGTTGGGAGAGGAACATAACTTCTCTTGGCAACTGTGCAATGTTCAGCAGCATGTTTACAGCCTTGTGAGTAATCCAGTCTATTCCTACCTTCCAGAAGTAGCACTTGCAAGTTCCTCTGCCATCTCTTCCTTCTCCAGATCTGCTTGTTTGCGAGCTCTCTCTGCAGCAGCCAGATCCTAGGAGAAAAGGAAAAGGCAGCATAATAAAGAAATGAGCAAGTCAGTGTTCAGACAAACAGTTACAGCATGATACACAGGACTGTAAACTTTCTAAAACTGGTATCAGATGGGTTGTCTTGTTAAGGCAATAAACTCTTGTCATAGCCTAAATCCTAGGGACATACAATGAAACACACTTTATCCAGCCTATCAGCTGGTTTCTATTTTATTTGGTTTAGTCGTAAGATCGCCCTTTAATACACTTAAGAATAACAGCACTAACAAGACTTCAGGAATTTATAGTTATTGAAAACAATTTGTGTTGGATTGTACGGTTAATTTCCCTTTAAGACTGGTGAACTGTGTCTTCCTCCAAGGTGATTTTTTACAGCTTAATCTGGCTCTGCTCAGATGTAGATGCAACAACTTTAGCAGAGTGCATGGAGTACGTGGAACTTTTGTAACAAGTGCTGCTTATAGTTTTCCATCCCCAATAGCTATTACATTATTTCATTGCAGTTCTGTTTTGCTACTGAACGTCACGTGTAGTCTGCTTCATACTGCTCTAAGTTTCCCACTTTACCTCTTGAAGCTGGATGAGTTCTGCTTCCAGGCCCTTTGCTTTCTTCTCATTTTCTCTGGCTGTAGCAAATATTTCTTCTCTGGCAGCCCGTGCATCATCCAGCTCTCGCTGGTAGTCCTTCATCTGAGCCTTGTTGAAAAGAGTAACAGAGGTTTATTTTTGTCTGGCTTTATTACAGTTTCAGAAGAAAAAAATCTGGACACAGTAGAATGCATACACATTTACACAGTCATAATGCCTGCTTAAATTATATTTTCTGGAGAGATCAGCTAGTACATGTTAGAAAGGTCTGAAATGCTATTCCAAGAAGAGCGATGCTTCCATGTGCGCACTGCAGCTTTTGTAATGCCTACTGTCCTTATTTCCTCTGAATATTTGAGTACATGTGCAGTTTTAGTCTTTCTGATACATCCCTTTTTGTTTAGCTGTCACCATATGACAAAACAGTGGATATGGATACTTTCAGTATAAATAGGAAAATGCTAATTCAGAGACAGCATGATTTCTGAACGGTCTTTTATGCTTCTGAGTCAAGTATTAGAACCAGCATTGAAGCCCTGTAATAGATTTTATCTTTGTCTATGTGGGAGTCTATGTTTTCCTTCATGTGGGTAAGTCAATAGCAAATGAATGTTGGCTAGAGAATTTTGGAAGCGCTCTCTAATGATAAAATTTAAGATTTTCATGGTTTACCATGTGAAGTTTTCCATTGTCATTCACACTGAGCATTACAATACAGATCCTTGAATCTGTGAGTCTAGTTGAAACTCCGCCTCTAACCAATCACATGTAACAGGCATCAAGTTCACAGGTGTCACCTAGCTTTCATATTGTGGCTGTACAAAAGACAGCAGTAGGAAAAACTATATTGGTGGGATTACATACCTGTAATTTGCGAAGTTGTTTGATGGCTTCTTCCCGAGCTTTGTTAGCAGAATCAGCTTGGCTTTCTAGATCTTTAACATCAATCTCTAGCTTCTTTTTGGCTGCAGCTGCTAGGGCACGTTGCTTCCGCTCATCTTCCAGTTCTGTTTCATATTCATGGAGCTGATAATTAAAGAAAACTTATGTTTAAGAAAGTCCCTGAGCACTCTTAAGCACTCTGTATGTCTGAATAATGGATACAGCCCCCTATCTATGAATTGTGATGTCCCTGGCAGTTAAAATACATTTCCATATTGTCCAAAAATTAAAGATTCTTGAAAGGAGTCAGCAATTTGGGTTCTGTATTCATGGAAATATGTATATTACAAGATGATGACTACAGTATTTGTTTTTGCTGTCACAATGCTACTATCCAAATAGGCTGTGTCCTGTCTATTTTTATTTGCAATACTTTTGTATCCATTCAGTGTACCTTGGGAAGGTGCATAGGTTAGAAGCTGTCTTTTTGCACTTGCACTGAGAATACAGGGAAGGTTCTTCTGACTGTGTCAGAAATAACAATTCATGTGTTTCACACTATATTTGTTGTAGTGTGAAATTCCTATATCTGTTGGCAATTGTGCACCTGCTACTGAAACAGGAAAAAAACCGTTATGTAGTTTGTGCCTTTCTTAGTACAATAACCTACTTTTTTTTTAATTTGCCAAGCACAAGGCAATATAATATTTTCTTCTCATTGTAGAAAGGCATTTCTAATAATGGCGTGAGGCTGGGGACTTTCAACTGGCTTGGTTAGATATTTACAAAGGCAATAATAGGGAATAGTACCTGTTTGAGGAGTTGTCTTCTCTTCTCCTCATTCTGTTCATCTCTGGCTTGTAAATCTCTTTCAAACTGGCCTTTCAGGGCCTGCATATTAACCTCCAACCTGAGTTTGGCATCTTCAGCAGCCTGTAGCTCATCCTCTAACTCTTCTAATTGTGTCTTCATCTCTTCTACTTGCTGTTCAAGGGTCCGTTTAGATTTTTCCAATTCGTGGACCTTTCAAGCAATGAGAATTTAATAGATGTGTTATAAGAAATAAAAATAATTCTAGTTAAACACAGTCTACCTGCAGTATAGGCCACATTTGAAATATCAGCTGTGGAAAATGAATGAACTAATTTGCACAGAAAATGGTAAATTAGCATTTTTTTGAACACTTGCAAATCTGTCTTAAAATAACCTGTGATTCTCTTTATCCCAAACTTCTATTTTTAATCTTGTCAAGTATCATAAACTAATTTATTTAGTACTAGAAGTAGTATTATCGTAACACTGTAATAAAAGAAGTGATTGGCAGTGCACCAGTGGGAAGTTACTGCAGCTACATAAGTAGATGTTAGGCTGGTGGCAAAGTCAAATATAACTAATAAAATCAGATTTGCGGAGTTTACAACTTCAAAGCTGCTTAATAAACTAGTAAATTATTTAGAATATCTTTAATGGTTTTTCAAGTCCTAGAAATCAATAAGAATTTTATTCATGCTTGAAGTCATGTTCAAAATAAAGATGCCTTACAGTTACTTCACCAAGTCTGATGAAAGTTTGGGCACAAATAGAATAACCTTTGAATTCTGTATGAAATATCTGATCTTGCTGAATGGATTTGTGTGCTACAGAGAATTTACCACGCTGAAAACAACGATCTGTTTGTTAGCTGCTATTTTAAGTTATTGTTGTGGCAATTGTTCTAAGCCCAAAACTTACATTCTTGCCAACATCATCTTTGGAGCTAACAAGATCTTCCATTTCAGCTTTCAACATTTTGTTTGTTCTCTCCAGTTCTTCTTTGGCTTCCAAAGCCTCTTCAAGTGCTCGGGCCAATGACAAAGCCTTTGTTTCTTTTTCTCTGGCTTCAGCTTCTGCTCTGTCCCTTTCATCTGCATATTTTGAAGAGATGTTTTTCTCTTCAGCTAGCATCTGTAAAAAGGTAGTGTTAATACAGGAAGTCATTAGTAATAGGGGTTTTCTATTGCAACTGTCTTGTCAGTTGTTAATGATAGGGAAAAATCTCTGCTTTTTGATAAATGTATAGAAATAAAAAATTAACCAGTGTATGCATAATTAAATTGTAGGGGTTTTTTTGTCCCTGCTGTATCTTTCACTAAACTGGTGGATTCTCTGTGAGTTCCAGAGAAGTGAAGTGATAACACAGCAAGGGAGAATCTTAAATCCATACCTGATCAAACTTCTTCTGTTTTTTCTCCAGGTTGGAGACCAGCTGACGCTGGTTGTCTAAGTCCACCACCAGGTCATCCAGCTCCTGCTGGAGTCTGTTCTTGGTTTTTTCCAGTTTGTCGTAAGAAGCAGCCTTTTCCTCAAATTGTTGTGTGAGACTTTCAATTTCCTTCTGAAGTTTCTTTTTGCCTTCTTCCATGGCTTCTACGGTGCTGGAATATTCCTGTAGCTTCTTCTTAGAGTCAGAGAGCTGAAATTTGAATTCAGAGGACAAATCTTTATAGCAGTAATGACAAAGCTTGGCAGAGAAGATGATCAGGAGACAACCAAGACCCAGAAATCTTATCTAATTTGACCCACGTGAAGCTAGCGAGAAGTTACTCATCACCCAGCCTTCATAAAATGAGGCAGACCACAGACCTAGTATGCACATACAGGCCTAGTGTGCAAGACTATCTTGGGAGCTACCTTGCATTTGTACCTGTCCTAGAGATCATGCTTTAAAGAGGGAAACTGCTGGCTCCATTGTGGAGCTTCACTGATGCCATCAGGGCTAACTGCATTAGTTCCCTGAAGGTCCGTGTGCTGTGCCAGAATAGTTCTACAGATCTGAAACATCTGGAATTACTGACAAAGCTCTCAGTGATGGAGCTAGTGATTTAGCTATGGCACTGATACCTGTATTGTCAGTGTTGAAATATGTCTCTCCAGATTTTGTTTTGCTTCTATTTCTTCATCCAACTGCTCTTGCAAGCTGTTCTTCTCATCCTCCAACTGACGAAGCTTGGTAGACACGTTTAGCTTCTGCCGCGTTTCTTCCTGAAGCAGCTCCTACAGTCACCACATCAATCAGCAATACAGTCATTAGTTTGGGTCTTTTTATAGTGCATTTTATAAATATTGTAGGTGAGCTGTTACTGGATGCAAGTTTACCTGTGTATCTTGTAGCTGAGATCCTAAGGTTGCAACATCTTTGGTCAGTTTGATTGTCTTGCTTTCTGCTTCATTGAGCAAACCAGTAACATTTTCTATCTCAACCTATGAGATACCACATTGAATAAACTCAGTTATTTTGCACAACTTCAAAATCTTCCTCCAAACTTTACTTTGCTCTAGATTGAAATCTTAACTTTGCAGGATTGGAGTCTGCTCCCATGCTTCTGGGTCACCTCAAGCACCAACAGTGTTTCTACCTTAACTGGAATTTGCAATTTGGCCAAAGTTTTCTGGATAATATGTGGCATTTAAGTCCTGTGGAACTAAATCCTGCATACAAACTCTGCAGTGTCTGCACGTGTCATCTTTGTGACCTGTGTATTAAGACCCCCAAGGTCTAATGCCTTTTTTTTTCTAGTTTACCTTAGTATTTTACTACTATATATCAAAACCTAGTCATATTCATAAGTTAATACTAGTATAGTCCTTTCAGTGAATTGCAAAGGGGAATGGAGATTTTTGTGGATTTTTGAAGCTGATGCATTTTGGTTATTTTTTTTGTTTATCCACTAACTTAAAATAATAAAGAAAAGCTTACTGCTGCTATGAAAAAATTGTAACAAAAAGCTTGATTAGTATTGCTAAACATTGAACATCTATCAAAGAACCATTTAAAATTATCTTTAGTTATTTCTTATTAGACACTAAATCATAGGTAAGTGAGCATTCTCCTTTCATTGTCATTTTTTCTGAGCACATCTTATGTGTTTAATAACTGTTTAATCTATTGCCAGAAGCCACTTTCCTATCAATGTTCCCCAATAGCCAAAAAGAAACTCTGTAAAACATGCAGCACAGTCACTGAACCAGTGGTGGCATTACAGACTGCAATGAGTACAGAGGGATGGTGAGACTAGAAGCTCTTGCTTCTGTGAGACAGTGGTTGTAATTGTTTAATTGTGTGAAAACTGAGGTTCAAGGCAGGAACCCTACAGATGACAAAAACTTAGCATTTTGGCTGAAGTCGACAGGGCCAGTATTCCTCCAGATATACCCTCACAGAACAGTACAAACTGTTTTTCTCAAGCTCCAGGTGTCACAGCAAAAGGTCAAACTCCTTCCTACCTGTAACTTATGAACTTTTTCATTGAGTTCTGTCCGAACACGCTCTCCATCAGCGTATTTGGACTGTAACTCTTGCAGCTGTACTTCCAGCTTCTTCTTTTTGTGCTCCACATCTTGTTTGGCCTGATTCAGGCTCCTGACTTCAGTAGCCAGATCAGCATTTTCTTTCTCCAGTGTCTGTTTGGTCTTATCCAAGTTTGCTTTAGCCTACAAGCATGAAGTGAAAAAAGATAATCTGTAAGAGGAAGTCATGTTATCTAGTGGATAGTTTTCAGTAAGATGCATTTTTGTTTACCCGTTTAAATTGTTCCAGCTGCTCTGTTAGCTCTTCCACAGCTTGAGTGTGCTTTTGCCTCATCTCTTGGACCTGGGCTTCATGAGTTCGAGTCTCCTCCTCCAGAGCTCTCTTCAGCACTGTGACCTCCTGTTCACGCTTTGCTCTGGAAGGTAACACACATAAATGGAACAGCAGCAGCAAAGAGTGTTTCAGTCACTGGGAAAACAGCACTACCGCACAGTTACTAGACAGCATTGTACTGAACTTGGTGATATTTATTTTTGGCCCATGTGCTACATCTCCATACCTGAGCTCTTGCTGGGTGGCTGTGGTATCCAAAGTATCCTCAAGCTCTGTCTTAAGAGCCTCCAGCTCTTCACCTAGGTCTCTCTTCTGTTTTTCTGCTTTGTTTCTTGCAGCTCTCTCAGACTCCAAGTCTTCCTGGAGATCGGAGATGTGAGATTCCAATTCACGGATCTTCTTGAGGGCATTGTTCTTCTGACTAGTTTCATCTTCAAGCCTGAAAAGAGAGTATTTAATTTTATATATTAAAAAAAAATCATTTCACTTTGAGGAAATCAGTATACAGAGATTAAAGGTTTATAGGTTCTGTGTAAAAAGGTACCAAAGAAAGAGAGGGGACTGACAGAAAAAGGATCTGGCAGCTGTACTTTAGCAGGATACAATGCCTGGAGATGCTGATTGGCTGATTCAGCAAAAGTTTTGGTTTGATACAGAAAATCCACTGAGACTCTCTTCAGTAATTTCTGCCTTTTGCCTATGAAGTATGTTGTTACATTTAATTTTTTGCTTAACAGCACTGCTAATGCCATTGGGAAGAGAAGTTTCTATCGATATCTGGAAGTAAGATTATATGTCTATGGGCAAACAATTGTATAAGTATTTTTTGCAAAAGGAAATTTGGAAAATGGGGAAAGCATGCAGGGAGGTTGTAACTGAGAGATGAGATTTATGGCTGCAGCATCTCAGTGTCTGGGAAGGGGAGAGACATATGTTCCAGCCTGGGTTTTCAACCTGTGTGCAGATCAGGAGTGAATACCTGGCTAGAGCAGCCTGCAGCTCTTCCTCCTTCTTGGCTAGTTGTGCCTTCAGCTCAGCAATTTGTGCCTGCAGCTCTGCTATTTGCTCATGTAGATCACCCGACTCCCCTTCCAACTTCCTCTTAATTTTCTCCAGTTCTTGTCTGCTCTTCTCTTCTTTCTTCAGTCGCACTGCAAAAGTAAGAATTTTGGTCATGGGAGTGTGTTAGTGCAAGGAGTCCTTAATCTGATCTTGAACTTAGGCAAAAAAAATGTACTGGCCTCCAGTGAGGCCATACATTTAACTACAAGTCACTGCTTTTCTGAAGCAACATGCTATGCCTTACTTTCATCACTTATATCTAGCCACCCAAAAGAATAATTTGTTTATCTATCTTTCTCCAGAAGAAGCATTAATGTTTTCTCAGTTCTCTCTCCTCTACTCTTTCTTTATGTAAAAAAAAAAAAAAAAAAAAAAAAAAAGTAGCTATGGCTTATGCACCCTGGGGTTTTGATGATTCTCACTCACAAAATGGCTTCAGCCTAAGAAATTTGGAAAACACCCCACAAATTTTTCAGAAGTTCTCTCCAGATTCTGCTTATGTTGTTTTGTTGTGCGCCAAGGCAAAAAACCTGATATAAACCAATTTGTTCACATTACCCTCGAGTTCTGAAATCATAGATTCGTGCTTGTTTTTCAGCTTCGTAAGATTTTTAGCTTTTTCTTCTTCTTCTGCGAGATTTGTTGTTAGATCACTTATTCTTTCCTCAAGGAGTTTTCTTTCCTTAAGAAAAATAAAATACTTCCGTTAACAAAAGTGTCTGTCATTGGTGATCGTGAATCAACTCTTTGCCAACTAAAAATGTCCAAGATACTCTCTTTTTATGCTGTGTTTCTTGAGATTGTAGTGATAAATTTCAATTTGTCAGTTACAGAGGAGCTGAGGAGTGGTGTCTACAACTTCCATATTCTCTCATCTGCTGCTAGTAGAATCCTGTACTGACTCTAATGGCTGGTAAGTACAGGGCCCAGTTCTGAGGAGCATCCCCTTTCAAAAAGTACTGGAATACATGCTTACTGCCAGTTTTAATAATGAAGTTTGGTTGAAATTAGTTTAAAACCAAGAGGATTATTTACTGTGCTTGGGGCCAAGACGACATGTCTTCCACTGATTGTGGAAGTTTTGTCTAGTTTTACACAATTTTGAATTGTTTAAATGAGCATGGAAAAATTATCAGAAAGTTGTTTGATAGTGGCTGGACTGATGGTCTGGTGAATCTCTACACCCATGAGACTACATTGTCAAGAGTATTCCCATTGTTCTAGCAGAAAATAAGGTTTTCTTTCATCTTGCGCTGTTTCCACAAAGTAAGCAAATGGATCCACAGTGTTTACCTTGGTTAGCTTGTTGTTCTGATCTTCCATTATGAGAATATCATCTTCCATTTTCTTTATCTTGCCATCTGCTGTTACTTTTTCAAGTTGCAGTTTCTGCCTCGCAGCTTCTTCTTCTTCTAGCTGTTCTTCAAGGTCCTTTTTGGGGGAAAAAGAAACGCACAAAATATGAATTCTGGAACTAAAATACTGCTTAGGATTATAGGAAATGCTTAATGTTTGTCACTGTGTGTGGGCTATGTTGTAGACTTGTTTTTATTAAGAACTAAACAATCTGTAATGCTTGGTGATTTAGAAGGAAAGCTTTGTTAAAATAATTTTTTAGAGAAAAGATTATTAAAATTGAGATGAGGAAGAGAACTCTGGAGGAAAGAGCATCAATTGGTTGTTGTTACTTCAGCAGCACAGACATATTCTGCAGAGGGCTGCATAGGAAGCCCTTTTATAGGATCTGAGGTTTGCCAGTCTCCATTTTTTCTCTGTGAGATACAAGTTATTGTCTGTATTTGTTACTTATGCCTCCTCACCAGCATTTGTTGTTGCATCTTTTTCTTTTCTGCTTGCAATTGCTGGCTGCGTTCCTCTTCTTCCTCAATTCTGGCTTCCATCTCATGCAGAATCTCTTCCAGCTCTTGTTTCTTAGCAGCTAAACGGACTCTCATCTCTTCAGCTTCAGCATACAGTTCAGTTTCTGCCTGAAGCTGTTCCTGAAGGAGGTTCTTCTCTTCACAAAGCTATGCAAATAAAATGGATAGGAAGTTTAGACTTGGATTGTGAATTGACCCACAGTGTCTTTTTATGAGATAGGCCTAGAGCACAGGCAGGCAGTTCTACCACAGGTTCTGGTAGAACTGGTTAGGCCTCAGCTGAAGTAACTGGGAGTTTGTCTGCACTGAACTTTTGTTCTGGACCATTGTGGTGAGTACAATCACAAGTAAAAATAAAAAAGACACCTTTATTGTAAGAGTTTCTAGAAATGGTGAAAGAACAGCTAGCATTTCCCAGAGGCCCAGAGCTGCAAATCACCTGTGTGTGTTTCAGTTCCAGCTCCTTCAATTCACTCTCTGCTTTTTGTTGTCTTTCCTTAGTTTTTTGTAGTTCTTCATCCTTGGCCTGCATTTCTTCTTCTTGGCGGGTGACTTGCAAGAGTGGTTTCACCTGAAAATAAGTTTTATTAAGAAAATTTCCTGTCAGTATTTATGTTACTGAGCACAGTACCTAAAAGTGCCAGGCTGACTGGCACTAATGGTAGTGCTGTCTGTTGTTGCTTAGGTAGCAGACAAGTAATGTCCAGCTGAGCTTGATGTAAGTATCTTTAAACCAGCAAGCCTCAGCAGTGTTGCTCTTGGCCATCTCTGTTAATTCTTGGAGCCTTGTGAGCTTCCAATAGTGTCACTTTTTGAATGGTTTCAAGCCTGGTTTTGTCCATTGATAATGTACAAAAGCTACATCTGCATAGAAAGGCAATGTACACACGCAGGCCTATTTCTGCTTGCAGAGGAGGTTGCTATCAATGCAAGTTGGAACAGATTTATGAATCCAAACTGAAGGCCATTCTTGGAAAAAAAACCCCAAAACAACCAACCAAACAAAAAGAACCCCCAAACCAACCAGGCCTCTTCACTAGGAAAATAGACTTAATTTGCTTGAGTGCCCAGCAGGAGGATGTTTAGTGTCCCAGTTAGGGAACTTCTGAGCTACTGAGTCCCCCAAAGATACATAACTATGCATGTTCACAAAACTAAGTTTTACTCTGTCTTGTTATCCACCCCTATGAAATTATTTCAATTTTGGCAATTAAAATGTCCCCAAACATGCAAAATCTTTTATGAATCTCTGCTTAACCAGTTTGTTTTCTTCTTAAGCTGGAACTAACTTACTCTGGATAGTTATATAACATTGTTATCTCTAACTAAAAATTTTGTGAAGCTAATGAGGCTCTTGCCATCAGCTGCAATGGACTTTGGAGCAAGGAGTGTGCCTGACATGATACGCCTCAGTATTTTGTGCATTTCATTTCTTTTGGAAAGCTGAGGAGATTTACTGATAGCCATCACTCACTTTAGTGAACAGTCTCCACCATTGCCAGTTCCTCAGCTTCAGGTAAGCAGCACAATTTCTTTGGATAACCTTCATTGCAGTCAGCTGTTGCTGTCTCTTGGCAAAGGCTCTGTGATTAAAAACAAATTGGTTCAGTCTGAGAATGCATGGTGTCTGCAAGATACACATATTAAGCAAAGAAACTCTGGCATGAGAGTCTGCTGATTAGCCACGTGGTTTGAGAAGTCTGGCACAAATTCTTTTGTCACTTAAACAGTGCCTGTGCTTTCTTGAGGAAAAGTGATAACTCTGTTTAGCTTTCTGGCTTTATTTTGTCTTGTTTTTTTAGCTGTTTGCACTCCATATTTTATGTTTCACAAGTGCCAGTGGTGCTGCTACTTGTAATAGTGCATAAGACTCCAGTCATTGGCCAGGATGTTCCTTCTCCCACTTGTACAAACACATGTTTCAATTGTAGGTCATTGCCTCAGAGAGCTTACTGTACAGAGGGTGTAAGTAGCCTCACAATGTTATTGCTTCCCTGTAATTATACTAATAAGCCTCTTCTGGGCAGGAAGCGAGTCCTTCATTGGACACAAGCTGAGTTCTAATGCAGTACAAATAATAGTTAATAATAAAATGTCTTAATATCTTCAGTTTGTTATGCAGAGAACTAAGGGCTACTGTAGATACTCTGCTGCAGAAGACATTATTTTTGTTAGTACATATTCTTACTTTCTTGCTAGGTAGCCTCGGCACTGAGCCTGGAAGGCAATAATAACATCTGTGATCTTCAGGTCTCTCTCTTCTTCCAGGTGAGCCAGAACGCCAGTTCTGAAGAAGATTTTGCTCTGTCCAATTCTGTACAAGTTGGGATCAAGTTCTAATGCTTTGATCTGGAGGAAACCAGGAGTATTTGTTAATTCCAGTGTTGAGGTTTAAGGTATTAAAAATTACTTCTCATTTCTGTTCACTTCCAACAGCTTTTATATAAGAAGTATAGACCTGATTATCAACAGAATCAAAAATGCTTTCCTCACCATCAGTATGCAAGCCTGTTTCCCATCCATGAATCCTTTAGGAATAGCATTTGCAGCAAGAATTTCATATCTGCCAAAAGACATGGATGTTAGGGAGGTTGAAACACATCAGATTATTTTGTACAAACATGTATTACACTAGTATTAAACCCAGAGTTAGGACTGAGTGAGGGATTCCTACCGCTGACGGAACTCCTGGAAGACAATCCTGTTGGGGAATCCTTGCCGGCAGATACGAATACCTTCCAAGACACCATTGCAGCGCAACTGCTCCAGCACTAAATGGGCATCAAGTTTGCCAGCCTGAAAAGGGAACAGAAAGTACTTTTAACACAGTAGAAACTTGCAAGAACATTATTGGCTGCATATCTATGTTTGAAGACATCATTCAGCTCTGCAATGTGCTGGTACAGTGATCAGCACAACATGAATAATGTGCCAGGAGTCTGAAAACTGATCATTTGAAATTTACCCTTTTTTCATGATTTGGAATGATACAGCGAACAAAGTTGGGATTTGTATTCCTTAAGGTGGTCATCAGTTTGGTCAGCTGCTCCTTATAGAGTTGTCCAACAGTACGGAACATGCCTTTCTTGGTTTTTGAAGCACTAGGGAGCGAGCTTTCAGTCATCTTAGCCATCTGATCCAGCCCAACTATACGGTCCACTGAAATATAAAAGAAAATATGAATGGATCTACTTACATAAACTGTCCTTGCTTCACATTACACCTATCACTAGCATTGTTAAACAGCAGTTTTCCAAAGAGGACTAATATATTTTTGATGCAGTAGAAACATACTAACAGAAGCACTAGAAGAGCCTTCTGGGTAAATAGTCTACTTCTGTCAAACATGAAAATGAGGATCTTTGTTAATTAATGACAGAATGGAGCAACTGAATACACAGAATATATTTTATTTTATGTTTGCTCTAAAAAGGACAGTCCTTCTGCAAAATACCCAATTGATAGGTTGGTGTCAGAACCAGGAACAACGATATCTCTTGACTCTCATCTGTTACCCAGTGCTTCCCAAAGTCTACCTAATAATCTCCCTCAGTATTTGATAATTCAGAGCCATCTTGCTGGTGTTTGCATGCACATTTATGTCCATGTATTAAATATTTATACTGTAGTATATGTGTTACAGATCCATATAAACTTTTAAAAAATGAAGGAGTTCATATGCATGCAAACATTATTCTGGTGGAGTTTAGCCGAGATTATACATCGCTGGAGGGAACTGTGCAGGACTTCTGGAGTGTGTAAGTGAAATCATTCATAAAACCCAACAATAACATGTATTAAATGATGTCTGTAATATCACATACTCAGCAACATTATAAGAGCGTAATGAATAATTTTTATTCTGTTGCTGAATACTATTAAGTAAGGAAATCTTTTGATAGTACTTAAAACTATCTAATGATACTTTCTATAAAGATATCTTTAGAACACATTATTCTTGTTTCTTAATTCAGTCTCTTCTATGCTTATCATTTTCACACTTGTGTCCTGCCAGCAAGGGATGGCTGTCAAAAAGTTCTAGTAGAAGTTTCTCCCTTTAAACCGCATTACTGATTTGGAGTCGTGATTCATACCGTCTTTCCAAAGGTCTGCTACAAATTTATCTGTTATCCATGTTCTTTGTGAGCCAGGCAGTTGCATTGTAGGTAACCTGCAGGCAACAGTGCTACATCAAAAATCTGTTCTTGATAAAGATATCTGGAGTGTCCAAGAACACAGAGCACTGAATTAATACAAAATCATACAAATAATAATAATAATGTGAAAAGCTTTCTGTGGTTGAGAGCTGAGTTGAGTATTTATTCTTACATGTACTAGCATCTGAAAAGCTTTTTGCAGACATATCCATGTCAGGGCAGGTGCCTGCCTTTAAAAAACCCTGCCTGTTAGAAAGGAATCAAAATTACTTGGAATTTCAATAACCCTGGTGCTGGTTATTTTTGTTTTCATGTGAGCTTAGCACAACTATGAATGTTTTGTAGATCTTATTTCATGTGTTATGTAATTAAAGCACTTATTATATACATTATACAATGAAAGCCATCCCTTATCAATGCAGGTACCAGACTGTATCTTTTTTGCCATCTGGGCATCAAAGAATCAAAGTTCCCTATGTCAAAATAGTTCGATCTGTCTAGTACCTTTCCTGCATAGTGCATTATGCAGAACTCTGTTTTATCCTTGAGCTGCTTGGGCTTCTGGAATTTGGGATGGTTGCCTTGCTCTTGACATAGTTTCTCCACAAAGGATGTGTCAGTAGCTTTGGGGAACCAGCACTCTTCATCCAGGAGAGCCAGGACACCTGGAGGGTTGGTCTGCAAAGTGAGCAATATCAGATTAGTATCATCACAGGCAGAGACAAAGCGCGAGCACCACCTTCTTTATCCGTTATGTTACAAATCCTCCCAGGCAACAAAGGGTCTGAAATACCTTAAATAGCTCTATTGCTGTACTGATACATAACTGACCCTGTTGCATTGTATGTAGTAGCCCACCTATAGAGATATAATCTTACTGGTCTTTCAATCAGCTCAATGCAAGGTTGCAGGTCAAGGCCAAAGTCAATGAAATTCCATTCAATGCCCTCTCGCTGGTATTCCTCTTGCTCCAATATAAACATTGTGTGGTTGAAAAGCTGCTGAAGTTTCTCATTAGTGTAATTGATGCACAGCTGCTCAAAGGAATTGATCTGTGAAGAGGAAAAAAGTGAATTGCTAATGTTAGAAAGAGACCTTCAAGACGGAACTTAAATGACAAGATTAAATTTGCTGTCTTCTCTTTCTTTTTGTATATTACAATAATTCAAATTTATCCATATTTTTTTATATATAAGGTCTTGAAAACTAACAGTAAGTTCTCAAGTGGTAAAACTTTGTACTGGGACCTGTTCAATAAACCATAAAAAGTGGACCCTGCCTGTAAACACTGAGCCCCGCAGGAGCCCAGCAGGAGCATGCTGCCAGCCCTTCCTGCCCAAGGGAAAGGCAAGCAGCCAGGTGTAGTAGGCCTGTAAGTTGTGCTGGCCATGGGCTGCTAGCCAGCTTGAAAGAACCAAATTGGTTTTGTGGCTCTGAACTTAGATTTTTGTCATCTTGTGTCCAGCCCACTGCATGATGATAAGGAGTTTAGCCAGCTTGTGTCCCACAGTACAGACCTCAAAGATCTCAAATCCAGCAATATCGAGTATCCCCAAGAAGGAAGCGCCTTGTCTTTTTGTTTTATCGAGAGCTTTGTTTACGCGAGCTAGAATCCAACGGAAAAGACGTTCAAATTGTGCCTTGGCCAAAGCCTCTATGGCAAAGTCTGCCTGAAAAAAAGAAGAGAAAATTGTAAGTGAAAGAAGAAACCCAATTAGCTGCTATTTTCTGTAAAGACAGATAACTGACATTTTGCTTTAGACAAGATGTAAGAAAAAAAGAAGAAAGGAGAATAGTTTCAGGAGAGCTGAGCAGACTGCAAGTAGGTACCTGCTCTTTGGTCTGCGCCTTCTGAACAACATCTCGTCCTACTTTGATCCTTGGGGTTAGAATAGATCTTGTGAAATCTGTCACATTAATCCCCATCAGGTGACACACCTTTTGAGCAGCTAGAATAAAAGAGTGACATTTTATTTCACATTGAATTTTCTCTTAGCAGGTCAGTAAGTGTGAATACAAGCAGCTCAGCAAGTATGTGAAGTTATTTATCTTCCTTAAAAGCTCCTCTATTGTATGTACAAGAGATGCCACTTCCCATAAAAGTACGATTTATGATCCAAGCAGCAAATTCACTGTTCATCAATTTATGGATTCAAGGTAGGTAGGTTACTAGGAAGGTAATGATAATTAAGCTGATTTTAAGTATAGTTATCTTTTGAAGCCTGTGAAGTAATAACAATTAAATAAAAAATACTGATAAAGAGTGCTTACTCAACTGCTATTTTATTAATTTCTTAATGTTAACTAGATTTTTTAAGTGGCAAATCATACCAGTATTGTCTGGCATAGAAGCTTGATCAGTGTTTCTCTCCTTCTTGAAGACAATATTACCCAGTTGTAGGACAGATGAAACAACCCTCAGTATAGCTGTAAGAGAAACAGATAATATAAATGAGGAACAGAACAGACACATTTTGAAAGCTCCTTTCTCTGCAATAATGAAGATTCATTCTATTGCCTATGGTAGTCTGTACCTCTATGGCAGGAGCTAGATGTGCTTTAAAAGATTGTGCCATTAACTGCAGGAGTTTGAGAGCTGATTGAGCAGCATCACAACAATCTGTGCAGTGGCATCCACAGGCCAGTCTGGGAACACCAGCACCTCCAAGCTAAGTTGTGCTGGCTCCCCAGGCAGACCCCCAAGTCTCAGGAATTCATGTTCCACTCACAGTGGCCTGTAGCATCTTCCCTGCTCAGTTACCTGACAATCTGTGTCTCTGTCTTTAAAATAAAAAAAAATTCTATGTATTACCATCAGCTTCAAAAATGTGTGGCACTTCTGAAGGTCCAGTTATGCAGGAACGTGTGGATATTTAGTTGTGCAACTAAAATCAAAGGTATACAAATCTTGGAAGGATTAGTGTCAAAGTACAGAAAAGTAGTTGACTAATGTTTGATTACTAAAATATATATAAATATGATGTCACCTAACTTCAGGAAGTAAAATCTGATATGTTACAGATGAGCTTGTATCAATCTAGGGAATTCTATTTGCTTATTTGGTAAACCTACACAGGAGAAGAATACTGCCCTAATGGGCTTACATTTTACAGCATAAAATCAAAGGGGTTCAGACGGTAATATAACAGCTCCTGTTGTTGTAATGGAGAATGCTGCTGTCAACGCCAATACACATGCTCTGGCAGGAGAACGAACCAGTCTTCATCAGTAGCATCATCTGAATTTTCCAAGGCTGGGATTTGCACTGCTGTCCTTCAAGGCAAGACATTTTTTTTCTCAGCATCCCTCAGTCACTGCTGCAGGAGTGGGATGTGATGGAGCTCTGCTCCTGCTCCTGGCTGCCACAGCTGGTCCAAGGCTCAAATGATGGGGTGATTCTGTTTCTGCCACCAGGTGTCACTTGGGACATGGCAGTTTGCATCCATGGGCAATGCACACTGGCATGCACCAGCTGAAGCCCTGCACACTGCCAGGAACAGTGAGAGGTAAAACCTATGCAGACAGAAGTTTTTGGCAGGCCCGCATTTTCAAAATAGTTTAGTTGGTGGTGCGTGCTCTTTGTTTTCATTTGTCTTTTCTCAGTGAATACAAATATGAGCTATTTGAGCCTGTTCCTTCTTCCAAAATTAAATCACAATATTTTGCAACTTTTTCATGCTAGTTTTTGAAAGTTCTGAAAAAATGGCTTTAAATGGTCATTACTGTTGTTAGAGCTGGCTTGAATTCAGTAGTCTATTGTGGGTATGTATGGAGTTCTAAGTGGGAAATCTTCCCTTTCATAAACACAAATTACCTTTCAAAACACCATGTGTTCTCATACTTTTGCATACTGACAACTGCATCAATGCTGTAGAATTCAAATGGGTCAGGAGTGCGTGTTATGTTCCTCCTACAAGCAGGTCTCTGGAATTTATAAGACTTATAAGAAAAAGCCTTGCAATTTGTCATTCAGATGGACAGCAAAATATTGTGACAATTATTTTCTTTGATCCATGTTTAAATTACTGTATAGAGCTGCCCTGTGCATCACTACTTGTTCTGTGCACCACAGAGATAATTTATCTTTGGTGATATATACTGTTTTTCAATAATGGTGGTGATTCTTCAATATTTCTTTCACAGTGTTTCCAGCAAGTGCTGCCAGTTTAAACCTTTGAAGGAGGTGGTTTGCAGTTTTCATTATTGGCTTCAGCTGCTCCCACTGGTACCCACTGCAGCAATGGGAAAAGGTAAGCCACTGTAGTAATTTTCTAAGTAGAACTTTTCTAACAACAACCTAAATGTAGTAGATCATAATTGGATCTCCTTGCAAGGCAGGAACGGTCACCCTAATACTCACAAGACTTCCTGAAGCATCACCCTGTTTAATACAATGGTGGCAATGATTCCAAGGAGGCTGCAATGTTTTGTGTTACTGATCTAGAGCAGCAGTTTCAGTGTCTTCACTGCCAGTCTATTCTCAGCCCCTTCTATCCTCCCTCCCAGATTCATGCTGCTGGTTTACGTTCTCTTCTGTCACTGTACTGCCACCAGTTTGGTTGCTGCTTGTTACTGGCTCTGACCAGGCTGCTTGTGTTATGTGATCTTGATCCTGTATTTAGGTCTTGCCTTGATCTTGTGTCTCTCCTGATCATGCAGAACTGAGTTCCCGTATTATTCTTAAGGTGAGGTAGAAACAAATTTGTGCTTGAGAAGTTTCACCTTATGAGACAACCTTCATTCTCTTTCCATGAGACATCTATGGTATAATTAACCTAATACCCCCTGGAAAGGATGGAAGTCTATGGGCACTAATTCACACTTCTTAGAAACAGGAGCTAGGTGATGGTTGGTAATAGTTTTACACAGAGGAAATAAGAGGCAAAGAGCTTAAATAACATGGGTACATTTAGAATCCTCCAGCTGGTGGTTCATGCAAGATCGCAATTCTCCAGAGAATCATGGACATAAAATCTAAATAATATTAATTTTCTTATATGAATGTAGAATCTTACTTCATATGCATATTTTGCAAACTGATTATTCTGGACAAAATTAACCTCTGTGCATTTGCATCTCTATATAGTGTCACTTGGAGATGTATACCTTGAATACAATCTTGCTAACAATCCTCACCTATCTGTTCCTCCTCAGTAAAACCCATAATTGTCATGGCTTCCAAGGTCTCCTGGAACATCTCATCATCTTGTTGAGCAGGAATAGGCACGTGGCCATTAGATAGAAAAGTGTAATTGTTGAAGCTTTCCAGCAACAGATCATCTAAAAAGCAAAGAAGAAAAGCCTTATCTAAGTGCATCAGCTTACTGCTCTTAGTTCATGAGTTATCCCAATGATCAACAGAAGAAACCCCAGTGTTTTCACCAAAGGAAGACTCTGCTTGTATGAGGAGTTTAGGGTTTTGTGGTACACAAATATTTTCAAAATAACTTTTCATTTAGCAAGCTTGATTGTGTTAACTTTCCAGTTTTCATTACTAATTGGGGAATGTCTCTGCCCCTCTGGAATTCCCCTGGAATTTTGCAAGCTATCGACTCAAACCTGAGCCATTCGTCGCAGAATTCTTTCATTTAATGCCATGTGTAACCTACTCAGAGTTGCACTTCTCCCTGTGGGGATTTATATCAGGCAATAATAGGAATGGAACCAAGTAACAACTGTAGTGGGCTAGACCAAAAGCCTCTTCAGCCCTATACTGTGGCCAACAACAGATTCATAGGTAAAGGAGCATAAAAACCAGGGAAAATACAGACTTATCCATTGCTTTATTCATTCTTTGGCAACCAGTGAGTTAGCGAAAGATGTCGTATTTGAACCATGATATTCCAATGCATATTATATCTAATCCTTTTTTTGGATCCATTTACTTCCCAGCATTCTTAAGCTATGGGTTTCACAGTGTAATAATGTGCTGTAGGAAAGACATTCTCTTAAGTTATTTGAAAACCGCAAGCCAATGTTTTTATTGGGAACCCCAAGTTCTTTTGTGTAAAAAATAATAACTCTTCCCTATTCATCTTCTCGATATCATTCAAGATGGGATCTGAATGGGCTTACATCTCCTGCAAATTGAAACATCCTGTAAACTGTAAACAACCTGGCTCAAACAGGTGGACATCAATTGAAGTTTTCTTATAATTCACTTGGGAGAATTATTTTCTATAGCCAAAGAGCTGTTTATTTATAGAAAGGATTGAATGACATACAATTAAAGAAGTTAAGATAAATTACTTAAGTAAGCCATTGCTCAGACTGTTGAATGAGATCTAAGAATCATTAGCAAGTAACTTACTTCTCATTTGTTCAGAAGCTCCAGCAATCAAATAGTAAAAGATATGAAACGTTCGCTCATCTTTAGCCTGACGAATAGCACGGGATTTTTCAAGCAAATCTGTTTTTCAGTGTGTTAAAAAAAATCAGTAACATATTTCAGTCCTTCCTTAATTGTGCCATCAGCCTCAGAACCATCAAGAGCATTGATGAAATATTTGCCACGAGCTTGTCTAACATGAACATGCATCTAATCCTGTGGCAGGGGCTCTGATATTGGTATAATTCTCACCACAATGAGCAGACCAATTTCCTACCTCTTATTATATGGTAAATGCTGGTAATCATGGCAATGAGCACCACAATAGACATAAATGCTTCTAAAATCAGATATATAAAAGTAGCATGCACAATACAATTCACACTACTTTTACAATATGATTGTTTCAACTTAAGGTGGGGCTTCTGGAAAAAAAAGCTCTTGAGGTCAGTATTGTAGGTATAAAAGCAATAAAATCAAATTTTATTTATGGTCCATTTTTGTTACTATAAACTACTAAAAATGAAATTGGCAATAGTGTAAGTATTTTAAAATCGGTCAGTGATTCACTTTATAAGCTATAGTGCTATAGATAAAACTTCAGTTAAGACCAAAAAAATGAAACCCTGATTTTTTCTAAAGTTCACTTGTCAACATGAAAGCAGAAAGATATACTTTTTGTTGCTTGATGCTACACCCCAGAGATAAGCTCCTTCTTTATAGCTGCATCTTTCTTATTTATTGGAGCATGCACCTCCTTCTCTATGCAAAAATAAGCAATGCAGCACTAATTGCTAGCTGCATATTAATTTGTTCATTAAAACACACTATCTCATAAACATAACCAAGAGAAGAGGCAACAGTACTTGGCAAGCAAGCAAAGTCAGAATAAGCTGAATTTCTCTGAAATGCCTGCACTTTTTTCCTGAAAATACACATCGGGGTTATTGATATATAGCTCACAGCTCTGGGTGTGTCATTTGAAACAGCAGGGCCATGTTTAGCATCCAGAGCAGATAAGTTCTCTGGAAATATCTAGCAGTTGATGCTCTCTGGGGCATTAGCACTGGCAAAATACTTGCTTCACTTCAGTTGAGTGAATTTCCAGAACATGTAATTTCTGACCATGATATTGTAACAAAATATGCAGAGATCAAGCCAATTTCAGGATAAATTGTTCCTTGGTTTGACAAAGGGAGAGGTACTGTAAGGATTCTAAGACAGCTTTTCTGACCGCACCATGTTCTCTGGCTTTTCCTGTCCCTCTTATCTTTATTAATATAAAGTCTTTAGAGAGGTGGAAGGGAAAGGTATATTACTTTTATTAAAATGACCCTTCAATCCTCCAGACATGAACTAGAAAGCTGTCACACAGGCTAATCCCTTAACAAGTTATTGTCAACGCTTTTTCTTGGGATGCCTTTATCGCAGTACAACATGTATGACCTTTGCTATACCTAAACAGCAGGGGATGTGCAGCCTCAGGCTTGATCATTCAGTCTGCAAGGTCAGGAGCCTTTCTTTGCAGAAGCCAGGGTGCACAGGGCGGAGGGTGAGATCGTACTGAGCGTCTGGATTTCATCCCAACCTGCGGTCAGGGCCGGGACAAAGTGCCAAACCTGGATTTGAAAACTGGGAAGCGCTCTCCGAGTTCCTGGGTAAACTGTAGTGATGATACCAAGTATTCAGTGTTTTTTCAAAGTGCCTGTTTTGGCACCAGTAAGAAACAGTAAAGTTTCAAAACTTTTTATGCAGCTGGAATTGTAGACCACAGGGAATCGGAGTGACCCATGCAGGATCACACTGATATGAAACAAAACGACTGCATAGCTCTCAAGATTGCATGCAATCTTAACCACAAAACACATTATCGTGTTATTGGGACTCTGCTTTTAAAATCCCCAGCCGTTGCCTTAAGTATGGTGCTTCCATTTTCTGAAGCTGTATACGGGGAATAGCACGCTTTCCTGTAGCTGAGAAAACAGACCTGAAAATGTAAACATGAGAGTAAGACAAACTGAGAAGCTGGTATCAGCATAAATGGAGCCACTTCCCTCCATCTTTGTTTATACCAGCCTCAGCAATATTTGCCTTTCTTAGACATGTAATGGAGCTTGTTTATCTTACTTCCTTCTGCTCACCCTAGTTAGCTTCCAGTGCAGCTCACTGAAAAGGATACAAGTCTCTATGTTTGCTCCGACAATGTAGCCTGTCACATCAAAGTTGATGCGGATGAATTTGCCCTGTGAATGAAAAGAAGATCTGGATTGGGCTGTTCTTTCAGGTTATGCCAGATTTTCCAACATTAGTATTTAGCCTCTTTGATAAGACCTGTGCAGCATCCTCTTAAGCATAACATGCTTGTTTCCCTCCTGCTGGGACAACTTGTGGAAAAGCCTGAAAGGAAGTGAGCTTCTCCGATATTCCCTCTGCAGAAATTTGCCCCCATATTTTGTTCAGGCACTTAGAGGGAAAGGAGTCCTCCCTACAGGACCAGGGTTTGGAAGCTGGGGATATGACAACATCTGTTTTCTACTTTGATTTCCACAAGTTCAATGAGGGATCTGCATAGCTCCCTCTGCTAAGGATCATCTGCATGGATCTCTGAATTTTGCAGGGAGGAGGAGAGAGGGTCTGCAGGGAAAAGAAGCATCTGCCAGCACTCCCAGGAAATTCTAACTTGAATCTGTATGACTGTTCTTAATTTTTCCCCTGTAGTTTTTAATTGAATCTATTATCCACTCTTGCTAAATAACAGTCACAGCTTATGGGATATACACTTAGCAGTGGTGCAAAGAAAAAGAAAGTGCAGATTTTGTTTGCAGATCTGGAGGTGGATATGTCCTGGAGTAGGAATTGACTCTGGAAGGCCACACATACACTGCTGAATTGTGACAGGACAATGGTACTGTCAAGTTTGAGCTTGATCTTTAATCTTCTGTAAGGCCAAATTCCTATTTCAGAGAGGAATTCTAAACTGGTTTTAAGGGATTAGTTTTAAGATGCTCTTTAGAGAGAAGCACTGATGAGGGCCACTGTCTGTATATGGCGTTTTAAGAGACACTGTACCTCCCACTCACATAGACCCAACGAGATTTCTCCTACTTACGAATCTGGAGGAGTTGTCATTCTTCACAGTTTTGGCATTTCCAAAAGCTTCAAGAATAGGGTTTGCCTGTAGAAGCTGTTTTTCCAGCTCACCCTAAAATTCATTCAGATGCAGTTAACCCTAAACTTCACAATTAAATTAATTAAAACCAACACATGTATACTGGAGAAAAACGTGAAAGATAATTTAAGCCTCTAACTTTTTTTTTTCTGAATACTGCACTTCATGCGGATTTGTTTTCATTCTCTGTTAATCTTTGTGTTTATATATTTGTGCAGTTGACTGCTGTCCTGTATACATGACCCTTTTCCAGCACTGTTGCCTGTGACAGATCAAAGTCGATTAATCTGTTTAGCGTCATGACTGGCCTTTCTTAAAAAAAAACGGGTCATTCAATGTCAAATATATTTTTTTTCCAGTTTAATGTAATTTTTAGAAGGGATATTCTTAAAGGAACCTCTAGCATGTCTCTTTCAAGTTAGTTTATTGAGATCCTTTGCTAGCAAATGACGATGTAATTAGAATAACTTGCAGGTTATGAGGGCCACTGTCTGTACATCATTTTAATGTAATGCAGCACAAAGCTACAGAGCAGATTTCATCAAGTCTATTAATAATGATCCATGCAAGGCTATTTAGGTTAAATATGGAAATGCATTGATTTATTTCAAACTAGGATAATGAATTCTCATGCAAACACACAAACTTTGTATTATATCGTTAATTGTGATTGGTAATTGCTAATGAAACAAATCATGCAATGAAACAAGCATGCATTTAATACGCCTATTTCTAAACAAATAAATTAAGTTGAAAAAATCCTTTGCTTATGAATACAGCTTTTTTTAAAGTTTTCATTCAGCTATGTCCTTTAAGGTTGCTCACTTTCACATTTGCTCCTTGTCATCCTGTTCTTTGAGTACTACTCTGCAGTAACATGCATTTCAAATAACTCACCCTGAAAAGGAAAAAGTCCTTGATGGATAGTATGACATAATTTAAATAATTTTAATTAGAAAATAAGGCAATATTTAGGTTGAATCTAGGGGAAATGATTTGGAAAATTTGAGTGCTTCCCAATTAGTGTGCAAAACTGGTAACCTTTATCTAAATGCCATTCCTGAATGTCTTCTAATTTATATGGCAATGATGAAATCTACCTCAAAAATATAATTAAAAAGCAACAGATTGTTAACAAATGGCTAAACTTATCTGCATGGTCAGGAGACAGGAGAATGAGCACCTTCCTGAGAGCATAGATCTTTTGAGAACTAAGGCATGTATCAAGACCGCATTTTGAAAAAAAGGAAAGAAAACCCCACCAAAAATCCCCCAAAACTTACTACCTAAGAGATGAAGGAAAAGGGAAGGAAGATTTCCAAACAAGCTGATACAGGAGTCCTAGAATAAATAATGAATTCCTAAAAGTCCCTGAAGTCTCCCTGTACTGAGCAACTCTTTCCAGCTATACTCTGTAGACTTACAAACTCCACTGTAAGCATAGGGTGTTGCTGAAATCAGATGATGACGGCTAAAATAGCACCTTGTCTGCTAAACAGAGACAGATACCACCTGCCTCCAGTGAGAACTGAACTATGCCATAAACTTGGGGTATAAAACTGTGGCTCCAAATTAGCAGCATTGCATGCAGCTGGAAATCCACTGAACTCCACGGAATTGCCTATGCCAGTAATGAATTATTTTTTTTTGCAGAGAGCTTGTCCAACGAAGTACTAAATTAACTAAGGGGCAACATGTTGCCCTTTGTCATAGCCAAAGTCTGAGAGGCAGCGGTCAGAATGGGGGATGGGGTGGTAAAAGACCCCATGAAAAAAGAAGTCCCATTTGCCTGGCACAGAAACAGAAGGAATATGCCAGCAAACCTGCCTATATTCCCAAAGCATTGGTATGCTGGTACAGCACACCACAATGAGGGCCTGTAAGAAATAGCTGTAACATACCTGCAGACACACGCTGCAGTGGGAATTGCTCTGTTATGCATCATAGCAGCAAGCTAAGAACATGCTAACTTTTGTGAATGTGAACAATTCTCAACAGTTACATGAAAATGTAAAACTGAAAGCAATATCAAATGGAAAGCATGCAGCCATACAAATCAATCAAACACCGTGAGGTTTAGGAATTATTTCACAACAGTCCTAAAAAGTTCAACCTGAAGCACAGAAAGCATTTGGGTATTTTCATTCAGAAATCACGTTGCTCAATTTCAGGCTGAGTGGCTCTTTCAGGATCGTGGGAAATTTCATTCAAACTATGGCAATTTGAACACACACATATAGAAGAGAGTGATATTTGAAAGATGACCCTGCCTGTGTCAGACCTCATTCTTCACCGTGGAGCCTGACACAGTTAGGGTTGATTTGTGAGAGCATTTGGCGCTATTGTTGCTTTTTATCATATCATATCATATCATACAACATATTTCAGCAAAATCTCTCTTAAATTTTCGAGGTGCAACAATAGCATGCAGATCTACACTCAGTGCCTTAAACACACATCAAACAGTCTAAGTTACTCACGTAAGAAAAAGATGGACCTTGCTGTATTGAATAACGTGGTATAAAAAAAGTGTCAGTATCATTTCCATTACACAGACATTTTTATTGTTTTTCCTGTATTAAAATAACCAATACACAGTTTCCATGCAAATAAACCAGGAATATAAATAAAAACAATCTATTGCAGACATACCAAGAGTACAAATACCATTAACGTATATAGAGCATTTTAACTGAAGGAAAAAAACCCTGAAGCAAAGGGATGGGATTTGGATCCAGTCCCAGGTTAGTGTCCCAGGACCAGACAAGGACAGATATTTTTATGGTAAACCCCCAGTTCTTCTCTGGTGCAGCTGAGGCATTTTGCTATTCATTACTTTTTAACAACTGAAATGGCAATGTCAGTAGTCCCAGTCACTGAATTACTATTTGTTAGCATGTAATAGAACAACTTAGACTTTCTCCATGTGGTGGATATTTGCCTTCAGGTCTGTATCAGGGCCGGTTTGATCCTGAGACTCGTGTAATTCCCCAGAGGAGTCAGCAGCAGCTGCGGTTACATGCCCATTAGGAATGGCCTTGAAATCCCAAGTTAATTTTCCCCCAGCCACTGAGCAGGACTCAGTAGGAAGAAATATTTTTTTTGCATAAACATTCAACAAAGAAAAACTATGGCTTTAGTCTTGGACTCTTTCCACTAAATTTAATCACAGATTTCTAGAAAATATTACCCAAAGGGACATCTACTCCCTCCCCTGCCCCAAAGCAGAATCTGCTGTACATAAACAACAATTATTTATGGTGGAAGAGGCCCGGCTGCACACCCTGTGCTCTGGAGTCCTCTGTCTGCTGGTATACAGGGTAGGCAAGGGCAGCTGCAAGACCCAGCACCGGGTGTGGTGATGAGATTTTCACTTCATTTCCCACTACCCTACTAATTACTTATTTTGGACTCAGCCTTGCATGTGGGACACACTGAAATGTCTTCCTGAATTAAGCCTAATTTGTCATAAAAGTGAATTGTTACATTTTTTTGCAGAAGTTTTTGAGTAACATTCAAAAGGCTGGAACTGATGTAGGACCTGGAGTTGTATCATTGAAAACAGCAAAGGCAGTTGAGAGCCTCAGCCACACCAGTCATCTCTGGGAACTGAGCAGGTATAAGCTCCTATTACAGTTCAGAGTAAGAAAACAAACTTTAGTCGCTAAGGCAAGTTTATTACAAGTTTTGAAGGAACCAAGTACTTTTAAAAAATTGTGCCTCTCAAAATTATTCTGACAGAAGAGTAAAAAGTAAAGGCAAGTACAGGAACTTTTTGCTAGTCAGTAAGAAAACTTGCTTGCTAGCAAAGCCAATCAAAACTTTAGAAGTTTAAATTTTTAAATTTAAATTTTTTCGGCGAAGACACCGAGAAGAAGGGCTCCGGAGCGGAGGGTCGCGCCAGGGGACCCTTTCCTAAAAGCGGCAAATGCTGGTATTCATTCTTGTGATGCAGTTGATAATGTGTCAGTTAAAGGCTTTCCCAAACTTCTTAGTTGCCAGGGGCCAAGGGCCAAGGGTAAAATAAGGACCCAAGCCCTTGCAGGCTTCAAGGCCTTCATGCAAGGATATAAATAGGTGCTATGCATATGGAAAGCTATGAATATTTCTCTTCTAGCAAAGTACATTCTGATTTGATGCCTAAGAGGGTGTCAAACAAAAGTTTTTTTCCATAAACTCAGAGCTGTGATGTAATTGTGTACTCTTAATATGTCAAATGTTTGGCAAGCCACAGATGTTGACTTGATGTTAGCACAATCAGCTCAGTACAATCCTAATAGGCTTGAAGAAGAGTTGAATACGGAAGAGCTCACTTACAGTGATGCTGGTGTCCTTTTTGCCCTTATGTGATGAAGCAACAACAGCCAGGTACTGAATGACCTTTTTGGTATTTTCTGTCTTGCCAGCACCAGATTCACCTCTGAGAGGAAAGAAAATAGCATAAAAGAAGGTAGGTAACTAGTGGACTGTGTGATGTATTTAGTGTATAAAAACAGGACTGGAAACTGTCTGGCACAGTTAGTATTTATCCCAGAACATCATCTCTCAAAATCCACCTGACTTCAGCATGCAAAGAATGCATTATCAGAGCTATATCTCTGTCCCATTAGTATTTTGACTGGACGTTGGGCCATTTAAGGCAATTCTAAAACATGATGCATTTTTGAACGGCAGTTCATCTTGCTTTGGCAGCATCTGAACATTTATGAGAAGCAGAGCTGGCAGGCAGTCTGCTTGTATTTTAAGACCAAAAAATACAACATTAACTATGATGCAGGACAGCAGTAAGAGAAAACCTCGGCAGTAATGCAATAGTTTTCTCTTTTGAAACTCTGGCATTAAAGTAGACTAACAGCTTATATCGGTGCTGGAGAATAAGCAAATGGTCCTGCCTCATCTGAACTCCATGTTCAAATGCTCCTTGAATTCAGTGGGACCACAGCTGGGACTTCCTGAGGTGTCCCTGCTAACCAGGTAGTAAGGGACATCTCATGTGGGCACATGTCTGACCAGCAGAATTGGCAACCTGGCTGTGCTCTGTGCAGCATCCCTTGGGAAACAGGAAGGCAGTGCTAACTTTCCACCTCCCAGAGGACTTCCAGGGTTAAGTTTATTTACAACTCTTAAGCCCTCTCTTAAAGTAAAATACTGGTTTTGAAAGTACAGGTATATGGGCCAGATTTACAGTCTTTTCTCAGAAGAACATTTCCAGTCTACTTTTCCATCTCTAAGTGTCACACTACATCGTCTCATGTCTTCTAGATACCTTTGGCTCTGATGATTATATAGATAAAAACGTTTTTATACTGTCCTGTCTCAGCAACCAAAAAGGGCATTAAAGTGGGTGTGAATGTAATAAACTAATTCAAGGTAGTGCTGTGAGGAGGGCAATAGTCTAAATGTAAGTTGGACCTCTTTGTCTTTGGATTTAAATTAAAATGGATTTAAAATTAAAAAGAACAATACATTCAAAAATCCCATGGATATTTGTCAACTCTTCTGAACCTGAAACTATTAAACTGGATCCATTGAAGTTCTGCTTCTTTTCCTAATTAGGAAATATAGGAGTTAATTTTCCCTACCAAGGGATCAGTGATAAATGGACATAAAAAATATGAGTAAATGCTGGGCAGAACTTTCAAGATGGGATGACATTGATGGAAACCTTAGGAATCCAGAAACAATTCCTGCCTGAGGTACAACATGATGAGAAGTGTTTCTTCTGGCTTTTAGCGTTTTAACCAGAAATAATTGAGATGAATATGTTCCTTTTCACAAGACCTGGGTTAATTTGCACAGTTTAGAGGTTGGATTCATCTCTGCCTGGGCTTCAGTTCTAAAATATTTCCATGCTTTATTGATAAAAATTAAGTGTCCTGGGAACAATTCCAAACAAAGCACACCGATTTGAAGACATATGCATACAAAGTTTTCAAATAAATCTACCTTAAAACTTTGTTTCTTTGGAAAAAAATAAAAAGACCCAAACTTTCTTCAAACAAACCCTGGGCTTTGAACTATTCTGTTTTATTAAAGGTTATTTGTAGTTCATCACTACGTGAATTGCATCTCCTTTCTCCTAGGGCATCTGTGCCCATCATTTGGCTTTCCCCTGGATCCCTGTGAGTATTACCATATATGGCATCATTTTACTTGTAATTATCCTGCCATACTGCAATGCTTAAGTTACTTAACATTTTGTTCTGTGCTTTCATCCTTAACTCTTTGCTCCTGCACAGGCTGAGGGTTTTCCTATTTTCTGCAGATAGACTTTGAGGTTTTAACTTCCTTTTGAAGTGGACAATGAAAAGTTCAACGTGAAATGGAAAGCAGACAGGATCTCAACAGCTACAAGTAGGAAAAAAATCTCTAAGGTCAATAAGTAATGAAGAATAATGTCCATAGCTGATGAATGCATCTAATTTTTCAACACATCAGGTCATTTTTAGATGTTCATGACAATAGGCAGGTCTGATAAACAAGTATCCATTAAACTACGTTAGTAGCCCTCATAGTCTGAAGGATGCATCACAGCTGTATGACAAGGTTTAGATTTCATGTCAGTGATAAAATACCATGTGTTTGAAAACTAACTAATGAGGAGGAATGGCTAGATCAGGTTCAATGTCTCTAAACATCAAGAAGCTTACAAATGGAAAGACCCGGGAGTAGGAGAGCATGTGAATCTCTTAGTTCACTTCACAGGTGGACAAAATTCTTCCTAGAACTGTTGAGCTGCAACAGAACCGGTCATGCCAGATTTTCTTCTCTGCATCTGCCTTGAAGTACCATCATTTGTCAGGTGGCAGCAACAACTTTCATGGTGAGGTGGTATGAGGAATCCCACCTGTTTTAAAATCTACATGCTCTCTCGAGCTCAGTGACTGAATTTTTAAAGATGGGTCTTTTTCTTGTAAGCATCTTTCAGTGGTTTTGGCATGGACCATACACAATGGAGTTCCTCCCAGGAGGCATCTGCTCCTCTTCTGAGTGCCCATTTTCCTACGTCTTTATGTTCCAAAGTAGGAGTTTACCATATAAATGCTGTTACCAGTGTCCTAATCATGATCTTTTGGGAGTAGACTGATCATTTGTTTAATTGAAGCATCTCAAATCATCCCTGTTGCCTTCCATACAGAGAGGCAGCACCTTTACTGCCAGTGCTGTTCTTTGCACCCAGCTCAGATGGGCAACACAAAAAAACAGATCACAAGCGGGTCCCGTTGTACAGTTCTGATCAGCCCAACAGCAGTACCTCATCTACTTCCCATACATGTTTTCCTCCTAAGAAACTCCTTGGCCTTCTCAGGTCGAAAGGGTCCACTAGGCTTACAGGCTTGCTCTGTTAAAAACACCACTGTCACATTGTGTGGCATAGTTTAAATTTATTCTTCCCTCATTTCTTGCCAGGCATTGTTTTAGGAACTCAGTACAGGATTTAAAGCACATAAGCTCACATACAGTACTCTGCTATAAGAGTTTTTGCACCACATGAGCTACTAAATTCTCCATGACTCCATTACCTTCACCTTAAATGAAAATTATTCTAGTTAGAGTAGGTTTCCAAATTGGGACAAGGTGAGACTAGCAAATTGAGTTTACTATTGTGGGGTGAGCCTGTGGTGTAGCTAGGACTCTTGTACATTTGGATATAACTGGGAAAAAATCAGTTTTAAAACTATTTTTTTCTTGAAAATTTGAAAGCTTTTTATATTAATAATATAAGACTTAGCTTAATTCCACTTTTGGAAACATCTAAAAAGTAACAGCAGAATTTATTTTCAGCATTTGTTTCAGTAAGCAGTGAACCACAAAAATTGGCCATTCACACATCTCTTAATCTGGCTATGCTGGCACTGCGGGAAGCCTCCGTGCACAGAGCAGTCAATGAGGTGCTCTAAATCACATTAGGGCTTGGCAGGCTTCATCCTGCACTATGAGATGTGCAAAGATAATGAAAATCTTTGTCCTAGACCAGCTGTACCCTCCTAGAGACCTGGCTCAGAAGCCAGCCCACTGATCGTACTAGTTTACTTACTAAAAAATTCCCCAAAGAGATGGAGCTGGTTCAACACCAAGCTCCACCCTTGGTCTAAAGCTACAAAAGATAGCTGTGTGGGAGAAGGGCCAGGCAGCAATGCTTGCCAGCTCCAGCCTTTGAGGTTTAGTGAGCTGGGAAAGAGAAGAGTTTAGCTCTCTCGTGTAGTCTTTTGACTAATGGGGCTTTGCAGTTTCGAGGATGTTCTGGATTACTCTGCTTCTCGACATGTGTCAGGGGAGAAGGTGGGCTGAGGTCCCAGGGCTGGGTGAGGCTCTGGAGAGTTTGCCCAAAAAGAGAGAGGGGAGGAAGGGGAAAAGGGCGCGATGGCTATCGCCTCATGCAGTATTTTGTCTGTTGCTGTAATGATTTAAGTGGAAAGAGCACCCTGCTACCATATGTTTTGAAAGAAGCTCTTCAAACTAAAAGCATGTATAAAGAAAATTTAAAAGGTAACAAAACCCTATTTGATTATAAAATGTTTAACAAGCATTTGTTTTCACAGTCTTTACATTACCCCCAACATTCAGAATTTTGATCAGAATTTTTCTCATTCATTTAAGGTGGTTTCTTGTTTAACTGAAGCTTGTACACAGTCCTTTTAGCCACATCGGCTTTCTAGAAATTATTCTACCCACTCTTTTCAGGAAGTGGCTAAAATATGATAATCCCAGGATCAGACAGGTTTAAGGGGAGATCTTAAAATACTCATGTGTGTTAGCTATGCAAATAAGCACCTGTGGATTTTTTAGTAAAAAACCTTTTGAAAACTCCAGTAGGATCCACTTGTATCTGTAAAAATTGAACCACTTAAAGGCCAGAAGTCTCTTTCGAGGGCTGGTGCCTTTACTTACAGCTGGAAGAAGTTTGAAAAGTCACAAGCCTGTTCACTGGCCACTGCTTAGTCCATAGGCACGCTCAGTTGCTGATACAGCAAGGTTGCTCAGCTCTCTGAGTAACTGGACAGATTTCTTTGGATTTTTCCTTCAGCAATATCTAATGTGCTGGTCAACACAGACCAGCATGGTCTTTGCAAGAGTGAATACAGAATATTGCATGGCAAACTCCAGTGTCAAAGAAGAGAGACTGCAGTGGGGGATGCCTAAGCGCAGGCAGGAATTTCAGGGAATCCCAATAGCCAGGCAGTGGTGGAGGCTGCCCAGAACCACAAGGCTGGAAAATTCTTAACTGTCTTAATTTTCAGACACATAAAACAATAAGATTTCATGCCCTTAGTGCAGTATTATGATCTTTATATTTATTATATATGTTATGTTATGTTATGCTATGTTATGTTATGTTAAATAATGCAGCCACAGACATATTAGTAAGCACAGCCATGGTATAAAGTTTCTTATGTTCCAGAGAGGCAGCTTGTAAATGTGCGTGATAGGATGTGGAATTTTAAGGCTGACTATAAAGTGGCAGAGAGCAACTGGCAGGGAATGACATGAGAGGGTGTTCAGTGATGGGAAAGAGCTAACAGTAGAAAGGATGTGTGCATGGAGGAGAGAAGATGAAAGGCAGTATGTATGTAGTTAATAAGAAAATGTAGAGGAAACAATGAAATCTAGGAAAAGCAGGAATTCTGAGGAAGCATTAGAACTTATGAGCATTAGACACAGATGGAGCATTTTAAACATACAGTTAATCACACAAAAGGTAGGGATTGGAAAAGAATGCAAACAATACTTAACCACATGAGAGTAAGTTCAGTGAGCTGAGGGTGAAGTCCTGAGAATGGGTATATTTATACTCAGAAACATGGAATCACTCCTTGTTCGAAGATCTATGCCCCTGCCTATGCCCCAGCTGCATGTCAGATGAGTCCCAGGTACTCAGCATCCCTCCAGGCCTTTGGTTTCCAAGTGACCTCCCCTAACAATGGAGTAACTCTGCAGAAGCAGTACAAAACACACGGCACCAGAGTACTTAAAAACAAAGTGCACAATTTCTGCTTGCATTTTGTCACCAGTATTTTTTTCTGCTGAATTCCCATAAGGTAAATAGCAAAAAGTGGGAGATGGGTAGCAATAAGCGGAAGAATGCAAGAGTCTACATTGCAACATCACAACATCAATAAACATAAGCGGGTTTTTGGTAGCATCCATAAGTACTTGTATGTGAATCCTTAGAGCTACATTTTTTACAATTTAGGTACCAGGCCTTGGAATGTTTGCGTCTATAGGTATTTAAAGAAAACATCCCAGCCAATCAATTCCATGAAGTCTTCGGTTATTGTTACATATTTTAGGCAAAAAGATTATTTCTTAGAATTTTTAGCAATTCTATAAAGTAATGCAAATTACTTCCACTTGACAGTTGCTCAGCTGAAATCCAAGTGAACTTTCTTCTTTCTGTACAGCCAAATAAGGCCAGGAAGGATGATAAGCCAGTAGTGGTTCAAGTTGTGTACATTGGTTTTAGCTTGACTAATCTTTTTAGTTTAAAAGACATGTGTAAGTACTCTTTTAAGCTATGGGTCATGATGGCCATCCAACATACAGCCATTATTCTAAATGTCTCAACGAATCATTTATTGTGGCTGTTTTCAAAATGGGAAAGACATTTCATTCTCTCTATTTTATGTATTACTGGTGTGAAACACTTATGTTTCAGCTTAGCAAAGCTGTCAGAAGTGGATCCTTTAATGGATTTTCATGAGGCATAGATTTGCAAAAGAAAGCCCCTTTCTTAAAAACTCTAATATTCCAAAGTTAAAAGAAGATCTGAAGCTTTACTAATGGAAAAATAAACTAAAGTACAGGAATAGAAGGAGGAAATGCATATAATAAATTAGTCTTTATTACCATGACATGTTTCTTCCTGGGAAAAGTGATGGTCAATTTTTATGTCATCACTGCATCAATTTTAGATTTCTTTTTGGTATTAATGCATTTTTTGAGAGATTCTTGATTGATATATTTGCATGTAATGAAATCTTATTAAAACAGAGGTCAGAGCTATGCTAGCCCTTACGGTACCGGATGTGGTATATCATTTTTACTTTTTCTTAGGTGATATTTTTTTTTCCAGTTAGCAGTGGCACTCACAAGTAACTGTATGGCTGGTGATCAGTAACAGCACTTTTTAAAAACTGTAGTATAAATACATAGTCAGTCAATCAGTAGCCACATTTTGACAGATAACCTAAAACCAGTTCAGTCTGTAGAGTAGTAAGTTGTGCACAACTAAGCTTAATGCAATAACATCACTGCCTGACCCATGGTACAACACCTGAACCCCCCATGCTGGTGCTATCTACCTGTACACTGGCAGGTCAAAACTCCAGGAGGAGGCTGTCAGCAAACCGTGTCGCAGAAAAATCACATCATTGTTCAAAACAGGGCTGACTCAGCAAGTATTCCACTATTGCCTAAACCGATTACGTAGAGACTGCAGAAAGTTTCAACCCACATGGTGCTGCCGAGCCCTCTTGGCCAACACGCCCCTGCGATTGCACTGGCTCCAGGGGTGGCCACTGCCAGCAGGGAGGTACCAAGCCTTCCCTGTTCTAGTTATAGTATATGCAAACAGCACAGAACAACTGCATGAACACAAAAGATTGCACTTTTCTACAATGACAACTGAATTAGGAAGTTACGGTGAGTTACCAACAGCTAAAAATGAAAAGTAGTTCAGTAAATATCTGGGATGCTTTGTGTTCCTCACTTTTCTCAGTTCCTCAGTTTCCCCTAGGAAGCTCTTAAAATCCCTTGTTCTCTCTACACATACAGTTTTACAACCGCACTCCCCGATCGTTCATTGTAAACTCTTAAATGTCTGAATTCAGGAAGTCATTTTAAAGAAATAAGTTTGTGCATTAAAGGCTTCCTATGGCACTGATACCTGCTTTTTATTTTATCAGCTACTGCGACTAGAGTTCAACCTTACTGAAGGTGAGGAGAATATGTCAGTTTCATCAGAATTTGAATAAATTTTTGAATAAAGACATTGTAATATTGAGATATACTAAAATAGACTGGTTTACTTACGTGCACAGGATAGACTGGTCTTCTCGATCTGTGAATAAAGAAAAAAATCCATTAATTAGGGAAAATGGCTATGTCTTGACAGAAGCACTTATAAGGATTTACATTGAACATTCTAGACCTTCCAAAATCTGGCAATCCATAATTAGTCAAAAGTACTGGGTTCACATCTTATTTAATTTGCCCTTCCATTTAAATAAGCATCTCTAATGGAAATACTTTGTACAAAAAATGAACAAAAGGTTAAGAGTTCAGAAATATTTTTTGTAAATTCCATTAGAGATGAACTGTAATGAGGACAGCAAAAAGATCAGGCTCTCTATAAGAAGATTATAATTGAAAATTTCAAACCTGAAACTCAGGTTTTTACTATGCTTATGAAGTATGGCTAGAAGCCCACTTGAGACAAAGTCTGGACAGATAAGGCATCAAAACCTAAAATGTTTTAAGCTGGTCATGCAAAGTTTTAAATTGTGAAAGCAGAGCAGTTCAAATACTGGAATGATGTGTTCTCTATTTCATTTCAGACTGAGGGAAAACTTTTATCAAGAGGACAAGTAATTTCTCTGAGATATCCTCCAAAAACAGTAAGATAAAACAAGATGCTTCACGTATTTTACAAGAGCATGTCAACGAGTATGTAAGTATTCTTCATGCTTTTTACTATGAACAGAACCATGAACCACATTGTGGATCAAATTTTATAAAAAGGTTGAGCAAAATCTCCATTTCTGCTACGTGAGGCATGTAAGAGGTTACTGTGCAGCAAGTCCAGTATGCTGTAATGCTGCAGCAAGGTTTAGGATTACATCCTAGCTCCATAACCTGCTCTTGCAGCATTCCTCCCTGCTTTTGATTTTAGGGTCGGAGTTTCTCTTTACCTTCAGAACTTTTACACAGAATTGTCTACCTAAAGGCTGATGTCAAGCTAAGTTCTCTAGGCTGTGATAGACAAAGAACACACACTGAGGTTTCATAATGTGCTCCACAATGCTAAACTATTTTGTAAAGCTCCACTGAAGCAAGACTGCCAGAAAAGTCTGTGGTAATGGGAGGCTTTACAATGTGTCCCCTATGTAAAGATGCATGACTAGCATGTTTGCTGTGATCAGTTCCAAAGTAGAACAATTTTTTCTCACTGTGGGAATGGTCAAATGTTGGGACAGATTGCCCAGAGAGGTGAGGTATCTCCACCCTTGGAGCTGTTTGGAAGAAGTTGCCCAGAGAGGTAGTGGAGGCCCCATCCCTGGAAACATTCAAGACCAGGTTGGACGGGGCTCTGAGCAACCTGATCTAGTTAATGGTGTCCTTGCTCACTGCAGGGGGGTTGGACTAGATGACCTCTAGGGGTCCCTTCCAACCCAAAACATTCTATGATTCTATGATTCTATAAAGACTTGGATAAGGCTCTGAGCACCCTGCCCTAGCGTTGAAGTTGGCCCTTCTTTGAGTGGGGCTGTCACAGGCTGCCTTGTACAGACTGTAGAAAACCCTTCTGATTTAGGAAAATAAGGCATGTCAAATAGTTTTTTGAAAAGTATGCATAGTTTACAAATCTGAGAATTGAGGCAGAAGCAAGTGTTTCTGTATGGTTTGGCATTATTTATCAGATGCAGAGCTAGCATTAGCCCAGTGGAGCCTCTGGTCAGAGGTTAAGATACGAACTCCTTCCTCCTTTTATTCAGTGTGTGAGGTGACTTGCAGGGCTACCTATGTGATTGCTTGCCCCTAACGCTGACCCTATATGTAATAAATACCATGAAATAAACAAGCTTCCTGTACTGTGTGAAGGTAATGAATATAAATTCAACCTATTAAGCTTGCAAGTAGTAATTGCTACCTGGACTACAGCCAGTCTAGGAAAAGCAGTAGAGGATTCTGCTATGGCTTGGGTTGATATTAAACAACTGTTTTATTCCCAGTTCCTCAATAGCTATAACATTACCTGCTTTATTGATCACTCACACAGCAAATGGTGCCACTTAACTGCTTTATTCAGTAAATTGCTGCAAAATGACTGATTACAGTTCTATTGGAGATATTTGTCAGCAATCAGCACAGCAGGACTCTTCCACATAAACATTTGGGAGGAGAGGAGCTGTGAGCCATGTTTATTTTTCACTGCAGGATACAAGCTAGGCTTTCTCTTAAGTTAAAAAAGTGAGAACACAGTAGAATTTTTGCTAAAAATACACTGTTGTGTAAATAGAAACCATGGGCATATATTGATATTGCATCACAAACCCATAAATACCATAAAGAAAATAAAAGTGACTCCTTGATACAGAGCTGCCAGTGGAATTTCTGAGCTCAGGGAACGTTAGAAAATGTTGGTCTCCTCCAAGCCAAGTATTTTCTCACTACTCTTTTCTGCCCATTGCTGCCCTTCTTTTGCTCCCCAGCAAGTGAGGAACCCATCCTGAAGGTATCTTGTAAACCTGCCCACCACAGGGGTTTGCATGAGTGCACACATATGGGCAGCTTTGCTGAAATGTAAGAGCAGAAGAAGGATTAGGAAGGTCAGAAGTTGCACCAAGTGCCCTCAGGGATAGGGAACAGGCTGTGCAAGCCAAGCCTGAGTTACTGAATTTCTCTGGACTTGATCAGCCCAGCTCCTCATGCAAGTACAGCTGAAATGGGAATGAAAGGGAAATAGAGGGAATGGTGGGTCTTTGGTCTTGGAAGGACTCAAACTGAAAGCAGGGACTGCTGGGTGGTTGCTGCCTCTCCAAGGATGCCTTCTGGTGAAGCAGCACTGTGACTCTGACTGACAGCAACTTGCTTGAGAGCTATTGGGGGTTCTTGGAGGGAAAATTGAAATTGATTATTTGATTTCAGCTTTCTCTTGTAGTCTGAAAGTCTTCCAGGATTGGACCTATGCGATTTGCCTGTTCTCTGTACGTGAACAACCCCGTGGCTTTCTTGCAAGCTTTTATCTTTGTCAGTGGACTTATCTCCTTCTAACTTCCCTTGTGTTTGGCAGCCATATGAAGTCTCAAAGCTTTCAGCCCTGCATTGCTAGACTGTGCAGCCTGTCCTGTGAAACCTCATGCTGACAAACTGTCCTGTGCACATTCATGGAGGGAGAATTCCAGATATTATTCTTTTTCCTTCAGCAGTTCTAACAAATTGCAAAGGTAAGGATGAAACGTATCAGGAAATCCAATCCTATTCTATTATAACTTGAGCTGCAGATACTGGTCTCATTTGCTTTCAAGGGCTCTCCCGTTCGATTGCTCCTATTTCTGTTCTGGAATATTTTATTTTATATAGAAAGGACTGTGCCCTATTTTGGGAGTCTGCAACTTTATGTGGGTAGATCTATCAGAAGAGAATTACTTGCACAAATAAAACTCCTTAAACGTAATTCCTGGGGCTTAAAAAGTAACAAAATATGTCTTCTAGCTTCCAGTATCTTTTTGGTTAATGCCTCTTTTAAAAAATTGACAGTACCTGGAAGACTATCACATCTACCCCTGGTATGTCTATATTAGACGTTTTGATCATTTTTAAATTTTCTCCTCAATTTTTAATAGCATAGAGATCTACATTTACATTCTAAAACCCACCAGCTTTCCTAAGCATGCAGTTGACTCTTTTTTTTTTCTGGAATCTGCTTAGCTTTTTCACCAAACACCTCCAGATTGCTTGTAAGAATCATATGCCCCTCTGTTCTTGATAGACCAGCTAGCTCTGCTTAATCACAAACAAAATCAGATGGTTTATCACAATGAAGCAGCAAGTTGGCAGCTTTACCATAAAAGGAAAAAACCAGACTGAAACCATGTTCCGACACTCACTTACTGCTTCTTTACATTTGTTAATAACTACACTGCCTAAAGGGGACATTTCTGTACAGTCCTGCTGGGGACCCAGTAAACAGATGGCTTTTCACAGCAGCCTTCTTTTCTAAGATCTTGGGAACTGTGTTTCCCTCCCATACCTCCCAGTAACTACCAGGTTGTTTGTTTTTCCATCTTTAACTCAAGCCTGCATAAAAATGGCTTTGCAGAAAATAGATAACCTTCTTGAATCTGCAGAAAGCTGTAATATATCTTCTCCATGATGATTTATTGCCAGAGAACATAGTAAAAGCCTAATCATCCACATGGAAACTTTTATCTATTACTACTGCTACATAACCTGACTTTTCACATTTGTATTGTTTATCACTTATTTGCTGTTTGCTGCAAGCAGGGAAGATGGCAGAAGGCAGCAGAATTACTCATCCTTACTGGACCAGTGTCTCAGCTCCATTGTCACTGGAGGCTGGCAGTGCTGCAGATAGAAGTCATTCACCCACCTCCAGCTCCTCTTCCCTGATCTGCACTGCCCAGTCCTCACTGCTGCTCCCAGCCTTCATGCAGCCACACTGCGCACTGGGCAGGCGTGACCCACCTTCAAACTAATTGAGCAAAAAGCAAGGGGTGGCTTTCACCTGGAGCAGTTTTGCACCATGACTTCTTGAAGACGGGTGCTGGCAGTGCAAGAGTTGGGATGAGGGGGTTGAGCGCTAGGGGGGAGCCACTTCATCCGAAACACAGGGGAGAGAGGTGGGTGCAGAAGCATAGGGTGGGTTTTTACGGCCGCAATCTCTAAGTGTAGTAGGAGTCAGCTAGTCTGTCTGTAAAGACAGTCAGTGGGGCCCAATTGAGCGTGGTAGCTCCTGGGGACAGATACACACATAAAATGCTCTCGTGGAATATTATATTCTCTTAGTCTTTTAGATTAAAGAAAATGAAAGTGGATAAAGTTTATTCTTGTTCTGACTGGAAATGAGCATCAGTGACTGTGCCTGGGCAATAATCATTCTGCATTAGTGGTATGGTAATCAGTAGATTCAACAAGCACCCCAGTTTCAGCATGAGGCAGCATGACTGTGATTTGTGAAAGGGTTTTAGGTGCTCAGAACCACTTGAAACAAGTGGAAATTTTATCTCTGCCCAGCCAACATCTCTGTTAATTCCCATGTCCTACACTAGCTTTTCTGCATATTTGGAAGAAAGTCCAATAATCTGATTTCTGTTAACCCTAGCTAAGTGTTATTAGCAGAACAGCTTTGATGGGACCTAACCATCATCCCTAATGAATACATTAACCAAGTAAGTCTCTAAAGCAGAGGAGGAGCGCAGTGTGCACAGCTCATGTTTTTTGCTGGACGCTTGTGCCAACAGAGGAGAGGGTGAAAATGTGAAGGGCTGTGATTCCCAGATGATGAGTCTGCAATAGGACCAGCAGTCTGCAGACACTGACGCTTGATTCACTGAAAGATAATGGTTCCCTGAAACATCTGAAGAAGCTGATTGCTCTTGGCCAAGTGGCCCTGGTCATGAAGTACCAGAATGTAATTATTCAGTCTCATTAATCTAAGATATATTTTACTTTGGCAAGAAGAAACTATGCAAGTTTCTCAGACAAGGAGCAATACGGAAATTTCACAAGGAAAACATTCAGTGCCCTGATCCATGTTTATGAGTAAGAATTTTTGTTTATATTCCATTTGCAAATATGCTTACAAAAAACTACGAAACTCTCTATGTCTATACATGTTGCATGCACACACACAATCATGTTGACGCCCACTTTCACCACTCCAATGTGAATGCAATTTGGCTGAATAACTAGAGTTATTTTGAGGTTTGGTTTAGTTCTATACACAAAACACGAGTACGTTTTTACAAACAAAAGCACAGCTTTAAAACCAGCTGGGGCCCTCTTCAGAGATGGAGAGCCTCCAAAATGGCATGTGCAAGTAAATGAGCAAGTAAAGCGTGGGTGTCCTAGGCTTGTGATGCAAGCTCTTGTGGGACTGCTCCCCGGCTGCCGTGCCAGCTGCGTGCTGTTAGGACAGGAGGCAGTGGAAGAGTGTTCTCTTAAAGGTTCAACTGATGATCTATTCCCTCCTTTTTTCTTTCTACTTGCTTTCCTCCTCCTCTCTGCTCTCAAGAAGAACTCCTTGTAAGGAGGCACTTGAATAACGAGGCATAGAGCTTCCCCAAGGGTTGTTGGGGCCAGGAAATTATTATGAGCACCAAAAAAATGACTAGAAAGAAGGATGCGCTCTTGCTGCCTCCTCCTCCTAGTGCCCAGCCTGGGAGTCACAGCCAAACTCAGGCTGTTCTAGGTGCAGTTAATGACCACAGCGAAGGACAAGCCAGCTCCAGCGGCTTCACTGCTGCTTGGCAGAGCACATTAGAAAGGACAGGAGGCAGTCAGAGAGAGGAAGAGCGAAAGAGGTCCTTGTGCTGCTGAGATCAGGCTGATCTATGCTGATACTTGTTTCATGTTAAGCAGAAAACTCCTGTACTGTCAGGCCTAAAGAATTTTCCTGTTTCAGCATAGGCTGTAGTATTATGTTTTTTTCTCTTTCCTGCAGACAGCTTGTAGCCCTTTCCTAGCTGTTTTTTCTCATCCCATTTTTAGTGACAAGTAGCAGTATTCTGCACAGCTGAATGAGGAGAACACTGCTAATGACCTACAGGAGCCAGAAGTTTCTTGCAGAGCTCCCCTGCAAGGTTTGCTGCTTAAATAAAGGATCTGAGGAAAGGAGGCTGCTCTGGCCTCAGGGCCGGCTCAGAGCTCTGGGTAGTGCTGGATGCACAGAGTTTGAGAGATGATCTGGAAGACAGATACATGACTGTGGCTTAGTGGGATGAGCTTATGCCAAGTAAGTTTCTCATAACTGTGGTTACATAAAAGCTGATATTTACTGAATCATGCTATTCTAAAAGCACCTGCTCCCTCAGTCCTAAATGTATTTTATATGCCTGTTTTCATGAATAACTTTGCTGTTACAGTAAGGAGGGAGGTCTGTTTTCAGGACGTCTTTTATTGTTGCTTTATTGATCCTCCTTCTCTGCTGTGCTGTAGTCTGCCTTCTGGGATGCACTCGAATAAAGGAACTGAAACAGCTCCAGAAAAGAAATGTCATATAAGCCAAAGGAAGAAAAAAGGTTGATATTGTAAAGCAGATACCTAGTGCTCTGAGTTTAGAGTTGAATTAACTGTATTTTGAATACTTATATATCTAAAAATGTAAGATTCTAAAGTTAGAAAACTAAGTTATAATTAGGGAATCAAATAAGTAAATAAACTTCAGAAGTTCTAAGGGTTATATTGTTTGGATTATTTTGTTAGCATTACAGTTAGTACATATGAGGACTCAGGACTTTTTTGGGGGGAAAGACATGTTTTGATGCCTTAGATATCCATCATCATTGGTGTGTTTGTGTGTGTGCTTGTAACAACACGCCAGGGATTGGATTGGTATTTGCAGTCAGTAGAAGTCTACCTGGGTTTGGGCAATTTAGACTGCCTGGAAGCCTTTCACATGTAAGATGATTTTTTTTTCATTGTGGGGAAGCACTTTGTCTAGTCCAAGTCTTGGTTTAGAAAACAGCAATTAACTATGATATGCCAAGCTGACTTCTTGTAACCTAGTAAACTGCTCAGGTTTGTATTTCAAGGGCATAGGACAAGTACAGGAGTGTTGCAGTCCTTGTGATTAACATGTGCTGTGCACCTGGAGAAACGCTGTGTAATTTCATTTGCATAGTCAGATGAAGTGCAAAGTGGTTTTGACTGGATTAATTTCTCAGTAATAATCACTGTTCTGTGTATTTATGTAATTATTACAAAGGATCAATACTGGGTACTAATCTAACTGCTAAACCGAAATTTCTAGATACTGTTTATTTTTTTCTGCAGTCAGATCTAAAATCCATAAGCCTTAAATCCTTAAGCTCCAAACCGGGAAGCCCTAAGCATTAGGGCAGAGCCTGCGAACCTTGCTGAGTGGTAGTTACTGGCCAGAATTTCTGTAGGATCAGGCCCCTAATGAGGGCATTTACATTTCAAAGCGTTTTGCAAAGTCTTCATTTCCTGGAGCACCTAAGGTCACTTTGAGATGGCAACAAGACATGTCCCTGTAGTCTGTAGGTGTTGCAGCCTCACATTTATCGCTACAGCTTTTTCAACCTTAAATTTATTATTTTTTCCCTAGACCAAAAACCCCTTCGTCTGTCAGTAGTGACTGCAGAAGGAGCAGAGCACTGTGAATTTCGAAGGTTTTGCTTGCACCATTTGGGGCCTAAATGCTTTCCCATTTTTGCTCATTGCCATTATTGTTAGAAAACAGAACACATCTCAACTTAGGGCTCCAAAGCATTAGACTGTAATGAAAGTAGCCCCAAAACATCATGTGAATTTGCTTTGCTGGGGAGGGAGAGAGAAAGAGGAGCAATGCAACGCAGACAGATCCAGCAGCGCTAGCAGCTAACTTTGGAATAGTCTCCACTGGTGGAGAGGGAGCATTTTCCATGCCCGTATTTGCCAAAACTATTTGCTTGACTTTGAAACCTTCCCGCATGCCTCGACACAGATGGGTAAAAGGATTGTTTTTCCTTTTTGAGTCACAGGGTTTGTGGACTGCTGTTCCTGCCAAAAAATTCCTCTGAAACTTCTAGAAAGCCCATGTTGCCCTCCGTAACAGATCTTTTCTGGCTGTTCTTCTTGCAGGAGCACATCTGGGGTTATAAGGTATTTTTTCCTATGTAATTGTGCAGCATTTTCTAAGAACTGCAGCATTAAACTCTCCTACCTTGCAGCATGCTCCTGTAGGCTGTGTCCGCGATAGCATAGATGTGGGGCGGCATCTCGTGCCTCTTCTTTCCCTTGTACATGTCAATAATCTTCTCTGAATAAATGGGCAGCTGTTTGTACGGATTTATCACCACGCAGAAGAGACCTGAATAAGTCTGCAAGGAAATTCAAATAAAAACTGGAATTAATATTATGTGCCATGTCTAGTCTGGGAAACACAGGCATCAGCTGTGTTGAATTAACAGGATTTTAGCAAATAACGCTCTTTTGTATTCTGCCTAGTGTAATGAATGAAGCAACGATTTCTGAATGTACGTGTATGGGTCGTTTCCAAGTGCACGAGTAATTAGTTCTAATAAGCAAACTGTTACAAAGTATATGAATTTAGCAATCTGTAGGAACACCATGCTTTGATCTGATGTTACAGCTTCTTGACTTCAGTTATTTTCAGTACGTAGTGAATCACCCTTATCTGTGATGATGCAACAGCTATAATACTTCATAATATTTTTTTATATGTGTATTTTCATACTAGAGTATGTCCTCTGCTCGGGTGTCAAATTTTGTAAACTGAAATCCTAGGTAAGAAGCTTGGATTGATGTTAGAAGAAGGCTTTTTAAAAAAGATTATATGAACACCCTATAACAATAATGATGGGTGAGAGTCCTTGAGAAACACCTGCTCAAGTTCCAAACAGATGTCTTAACAGAACACTCTTGCCTTCACTACACGACTTCCTATAAGCAATTTAAGGAAAAATGTGGTCTCTGTTTACAGTTTAAGGTATTCATATAAAAATATGTACATAAACAAACAGGAACATTAGCAACCAGCTGATAGCTGTTCATCCAGGTTTTGTTGTTGGTTTTTTAATTCTCCTTTATTTTGGAAAGCTCCAGCTGTTGAATTGGGAGCAGAAATAATAGCATATGATAATAGATGGTGAGCCATATTTCACAAATGGTTACTAAAAGTAAGCAGTTTGCAAGGGTTTCCCATTTAAAAAAAAAAAAAAATTTAAAAGCCCCAAATAAAAAAATTACAACTTTACGAGATTATAGTTGCAGCGGTATTGGGATAGTTAAGCTGGCCTATGGCTGTTAGTTTTAAGACCATGTCAGTTTAAAAAAACTGAAATAATGAAATTGTGGTCTTTCTAACTTAAGCATAAGTGGGTTTGGAATTATTTTTTTTTTTTATTACTGTACTGTGTGAATGAGTGCCTTGTGCCATGCAGCTGCGGCCGTGCCTTAGTCTCAGGGCTGTGCCCAGAGGATGGCTCAAGCTGCTGTGGTGCCCCGGTAGGAAGCACTGCAGCGTGGGACTGTAAAACGGCATCGGGGAGGCTTGGCTCCGGGCACAGGGATTTCCCTTTCCTGACCATAATAGGAAATGGCACAACCCGGTCTCAACACAGCCTGAGCACTTTATATGGTATTCAACACACACAGTGAGAGCATCCAGCAGTCAGGAGAAGGTTGGGTGCTCCATATGGAGAGCAGGAGAACATCTGGGGTGCTCTGGGTGGTGATGAGGATCTCTCCTACCTTTGCAGGTTGTAACTGCATTTCCATGGTCTCAAGTCAGATAACAAGAAACTAAGTTCAAGATCTTTGCTGTCTCTCAATATCTGCAAGCTAAAACCCTTGATGTGGAAGATAGATGGTTACTGCGTCAGATTTTCATTGATGCTGGAGTTCAGAATGAAACTGTGCTAATTGTGTCAAAATGAACTTCAGTATTGCAGGGCCAATGCACTTGAAAAGTGGCAGGTTTTTATCCTAGAATGGCTACCAGGGCTCTTAAGGAACAGATAGCAAGGCCTTTATTTTCAGTAGAAATACATTTACTGTATGCACTCAACTAATCATTCTCAACCAAGTAAATAAAATAATAGGAAAGTATATTTCCAATTCATGAAATTATTTAGGCCTCCCTTCCCTGAGATTTATAGGCATTTGCCTGAATTGCCACATGCAGGGCTGTTTGCACACCCAGGCATACAGTAACATACCTTTGCAGAACTAACTTTGAGGCACAAGAAGCAGATTACGAAGGCAGGGCAAAAGCCTAAGCTCATGAAGTTCAGGAATCCCCATTTCTAACTGGACTGTGACTGATACCTTCTCTCACCTCGGGCAAGTTGACCAAGACCTCTTAGTTTCACCGATTTGTAGTTCTAGGTATCTGCTTTGCAAGGACTTGGGGAAAACCAATTAATGAATGTGATGTTTTGAAGATAAGCAAGTCAGTTGGCTAAGCACGTGATTGAAAGTGGGAGGGTTGAGGTTTCCATGCTTTAAATTGTTCTCCTTGGGGCATGGTCTGCCCAGAGAGGGGGACCCACAGCCGTATCTCTCCCCAGAGGTCTGGAGACAGAACATGGTTTGAGGTATCTTAGGGATAGGAGTGCTGAGCTTGTGTGTCCCTTGGACAGTAACTGCTGCTGGGAATTTAAGAGAGACTGGCACAAATACACATATCTGCATTGTAAATGCCTAAGTTTGGGCAGAACAATCCCACCTCTGGTTCTAATATGCATCCATAGTTTTCTGTACTTAAGAAAGCATTTTGCGCTCTTAGATGAAGACTGAATTAGTAGTGCCTATGAGTATAGGCACAAGAAACTCTACTCTCAAAGCCACTGAACTTGCATTGCTCTTTTATTGATGTTTATATAATAATTTTTGGTCTAATTTGTGTGTGAACAAGGCAGATCCTGTTTGTTCTGAGTGATGTGAAACATGAGTTACTGGTAACGCATTTCTTACCCTTCTTTCTTGATTATCTGTGATGAAGTAAAAAGCCAAGGCAGTCCAGTGTACAGCCACCCTGTGAATTTCTGCACTGAATCTTTTTATTTTATAATACTTAATATAAATGCAAGGGACAGATGATTTGATCCCCCCCCTCCTAGCTAGATTGACTTTTTTCTTTAGCAGAATTGGGAATCCCCATCTGTGTCAGTGATGCTCTGGATAGGAAAAAGTTAAGGTCATGTTTTCTTTGTGTCCGTGGGACTCCACGGGAGGCACTGTAGGCATTGCATGGCAAAGCCAGGAGGTGGCTGTTTACAGTTACTTTTGCAAATGGATGAGAACAAAACCTCAAATTCTGTTTAGATGCCCCCTATTTTTTTTTTTAAAGGTATGAAAGTATCTAGTAGGGCAGCACTGTGTAAGGCTGGACAGTTTTAAGCAGTTTTTGGTATTGAAAATAGTAATAACTTGTTGTAATACAAGTAAAAATAATTTCTTTATAACTGTAATTTACCACCATCTTAAAATCTAGTCTCTTGAGAAAGAAAACTTAATTTCAGATACAATTCCACTTATGTTTCCATGAAAAATGTATTGATTTCTAATTGCATTATCCAATTTTTGAAATTAAATTCCTCTTACTTTAGAAAGTGAAAGTTCCACAGAAAATCCACAAAGTAAATATATTGGGAATCCTGGAACATCTATGCAGAGTGTTGCTGAGAAACAACAAGGAAATAAACCCCACACATTTTATCCCACTATTCTTCTAGTAATTCTTTTTAGGTCTTGTAACAATGCAGAACATTTTCAGACAAATTCCATTTTAGTAATTAATGCTGCATGTTCTGATATAATAGCACACAGGTCCACATGTTCACCTGCAAACTTAAAATTCAATAAACTCAAATACTGAAAAGATGGAAAGTCTAGCTTCTTTCGGGAATCTTGATGATGTGCATTTAGTACATTCCTGAAGGAAAGTTCTTGAGCTTAGCTCTTTTAAGTTATGCATAACAATTAAATAGTTCCTTTGTGGTACTATATATAACAATCTTGTTTTCTGCTTAATTTCCTACTTTCCAATTTAGCATTCCTTGTATTCATGAGAGCTCTACTCCTGGTTCTAAAGCCTTGTTACTTAAGCTCTGCACTTTCTTTCACTCATCAGTGGTCTGTCATGCAAGTAAAATTTTCATAGATTGAAACTGTAGACTAATTTTCTGCAGCACAGCATAGGAATCCTCCATGTAAAATCAAAGATAACAGCAAAGTTCCATGGAAATTTTCTGGGCTCTCTTACTGTGCAGATTGCTTGTTGTTCATGCAGAGAGATTACAGGGTTACTAATGTCAAAATACATTTGTATTAATATCCTTGTGTGGACTGGAGGACATAATAATCTTGGCCCTAATTCATACAAACATAGAGATTATAATTTGTTCAAGCTTGTCTGATCTGTAAGTTTACCAACAAGGAGGGGAAAAAGTTTTAGTGGATGCATGACTTCAGTAACACACTGGAGCATGTAAGTACTCTTACTTGAATTCCAGTGGGTTTATTCATTTATTCCAGCATAAGGTTTTAATCAAGCACCCACCAAACGAGAACCACGGTTTTGCCTGAGAGAAGACTGCGTGATCTGGCTTTTCCGTATGTTCTTTTTGCAAGTTACTGGAAACTTGTTCAGGTTTACATTGAAATAATTCAGAAGTCCCTATTGATTGACTGATTTCAAAGAACCAAGACTGAGGTATTGCTCAGCTATCTCAGAGTACTTTCCAAGTCAACAATATCCTTTCAGAATTGGCAAGCTTTGGGGAGGAAACCTTCATGTATTTTAATTAGGTAAAGAAGCAATTATTAAAGAAGTGGGAGAGTCATGGGGAATAGAGTGAACTAAAACCACTTTTGGTTTGGGATGCCATTGCTAAGGGCTGAGTACCTGCACGGCAGTGTTACATGCAAGTGCTGTATGCCTGCCAGTGGGTGGGATCATGGGATCCTGGGTTCGTGATGGTACATGGTAGCATGAAATAGGAAATGCCATGTGCATATTTGATTCTACTTACATAAATTAAACCTGAGAAGTATCTCTCCCTTAGATTGTGCAGCACTGAAGCTTCATTGAGGCAAGTCAGCTCTGCCATGTCCTCCACTTTGGAGAACTTTGGAGGGTTCATCTTCTGGATGTCATCCTTGCTCAGTGTCACTTTCTTTCCATTTTCTGCCAGTTCAACTGTCACCTCATCCCCTTTCTCTTCCTTGATACTTGCTGCTTCAAATCCATGTTTCTCTGATGGAATCCAAACCAGTTTCTTCGCTGACCAGTCAGCCTGGGCAAGTGGGTTGTTAATGAAGTTTTTGTCCACAAAGAGGAATTTCTCATCATCGCTGAGAGATTTTTGAGCCATTTTGACTTGGTAGACACCTGTTGAGGAAGCAAAATATTCTGCTTTAAAGGGAAGCAAATAGGGAGATGTTCTAGGAGAAACACGTTTGACAAATCTGCCATGCAGTAGATCCAAAGCACTATAGGTCCTGTGTCATAGCTCATGTTTCCATGCAGACACTTTTGGGTGCCAGATTAGATACCTCAGATTATCTGTGTTCTGATTCCCATTCCTTTGTTGCTGTGTCTGAATTCACCTAAACCAAAAGCTTCATGGCACTAAGACAAATGAGGACACCTGGGATTATTACTTTATTTGTTTATGTTGTACCAAAAATCAGAGAGAAAAATAAGGCGTAACTAACATTTGTGCAATGAGACTGTCAGGACTGCACCAAGACTGCCAGCTGACCAGCTTCCTGCAGCCTCATCTCTTGCCCATCACAAAGTTAATTGAATTCAGACATGTAAAAAATTTCTCATCGCCCAAGTACTATTGGGTGCATACTGAAATACCAGTGCAATAATGAAATAATTAGTAGAACAGTTCCGAGGCTGTGTTCCAGAAAGTACAGAAATGAACTTTTCTCGCAAAGGACTATTTCCAACTACTCTAATGCCATTTCATTTGGAGAAGTATAAGATTAAGAAAAGGTCAAAAGAAAGGGGAAAAAAAAATTATCAGTACTGCTGATGAAGGAGAAGTAATTTAGAGTTATCCCCTTTCCATGGTTCAGATAGTGGGAGCTGATCATTTATAAAGGGTAAATGTCTACCACATGAGAGAGAGAAGAAATAAAACAAGCCTGGAAATTGCATCAGCTATTAGATACTCTGAACCATGATGCTCAAATGGGAAAGACGATGCATCTGTATCATGCAGCTGCACATGGATAAACCATCATTGTGCAGTTGCACCTGAGTAAAGCAGCTGGATGTATCTGCTCCATGGGTGAGAGCAATGGGAGGCGGTTTGCTGCTTTGCACTGTGTCTGGGAGGGAGGAGGCAGCTTCTTCCCTGCTCTGGCCATTGGAGGTTAGGATGTAGCTGCAAGAGCTTTGCTGATAATGCTGGAGCTTTCTTAAGTGTTCCACTCCATCCTATGGGACGCACAGCTCTAAATGAGGAAAAGAGTAAACAGGGGACTTCTTGTGGTTTGCTACAGGGCAGGAAAAGAGTGGTGCTGATCAGGAAACCTTCCATGCAGTAGAGCAGAGGGGAACTGGGGAGGAGCTACAGTGGGAACAGGGAAGAACGTGTGCCCAAGAATAACATCTCCAGGAGGCAGAGGCTGTTTCATTTCCTTATTGAGAATGAATTTAGTATTTACAGCATTCAAACAAACATGAATCTTGAGGGAGTTTGGAGAACTGACTGCTAAAGATGTCAGCAATCCACCCGTAAGTAGAACGATATTTGTAAAGACCAAGCTCTGTGGCGTGTAACCAAATGGACACCCTGTGCTCTGAGAGTATCAGAGATTGGTTTCCAAATGTTTGTCCCTGAAGCCTTCCCACAGATTAATGTTCTTTTGCAAGGCCAAACTGTGTGAGGGGTCTGAGAGAGAAGCACAGATCATGCAGAAGGTGACATAAAACTTAAAAACAAATCCAGGATTTTAGAGGCGCCTCAGAGGGTTAGATGATATCCCACTGAAATTCAGGGGAAATCAGATGCCCAAGCTCCCTTGACAATTCTCTTGTCTAAAAAAAGAAAAAAAACCACCAGCTTTTGTCTGAATGTGCTTGTTCTAGAGCCACCAGCCTTGCCTGGAAAACCTCAACAGGAAAATTCACCCAGGTCATCTAGGCACATGCAGTGTGCGTGGTGGTGCAGGTGAATGGGAGGGAGACCCTAGCAGCTTGGCTCCATGCATTGCCGCTGGCCCACGCATGGTGTTCGCCGCTGTCGAGTCTCTGTGAGGGAGCTCTGTAGGATGTGGCCCTTTTCTTGCTCCCAGGGGATTCTTGGAAGAGAGCTGCAAGAGGAAACTATTTGACCTCAGTGTGGATTAAGGCAGAAAATGTTCCCTCGTTGCCAAGAGGGCTGGTAGAGCCGCACAGTTCCAATAATGGAGATGGTATTCTCTCCAGCTGAGCTTTCCAGCTGGCTGCCGCAGGGTGAAGCTGGCCAGGCAGGGGAAGGAAGGGAGCACTGCCCCGTGGCCAGGGCTGTGGCTTCAGGAGCCCAGGGCTCGGGGAGCAGCAGGAGCCTGCTATGGCCTCCCTCTCCTGCTGTGGAGGCGATGGGCAGGGCATGTTACCCGCCCCACTGCCCCAGCAGTGTGGGAGCAACTGCTGAGGCAATGGAGTGGGAGGATTTCAGTCCATCCTAGGCCCAGAATAGAGAGCTATATGATCATTCTGAAGCATCAGAAAGGTTGGATCGTGCTGCCTGTGGCTAAGTGCCAAGTGACAGCACATTCAAGTCAATAGGAATTTGGTGTTACTGTCAAAACCACCAAAAATTAGACTGAACTGCAGAGCTGAGTTTCACAGAGTCACAACTTGCTGTTTTGAAGCTGCCCGCAAATGATGATGGTGGAAATCAAACTGCCAAGTCATCCTGACCATCTACCTCAAAAACCCAACCAAAGATAAAACTGTTGGCCTGCTACAAAGCATGTCACCAGTGGGCAGCCCAAATGTTCTTCGCTGTTTTGTTGCCCAAGGATCAAGGGAAAATTCCTTTCCCTGTTACATGCAAGTCATAAACATCTTCCACAGACTACAGTGTGAAACAGAGAGGTGGTCTGTCTGTATTTTACTACGTTCTCTTACTTCTTCCTACACATAAAACTTTCTGCACCTTGTTATTTAAATTCAGTCTTTCTGAAAGCGAGATGAGGTTGGAAAGTATAGGAGGTGGCATGAACTGTGGAGCTTGGAAATACAAGTTTTTATGCTCTAGACCCAAGCACTATGTTTGACTAGTTTAAACATAGTAAGAATAGATCCCCTACCAGAAATCAGGAATAGCCAGTCTCAGCTGGATCTCATAACTCCCCTGAAACACAATGTGGAGAAAACACGGATTTGTGTAAAAAGAACTTTTTGTGACCGATCCTCTGGAATATGAGGATAAAGTTTGAGTATCAGCTGAGTACCACCGTAGTAAAAAAGGAAATGAAGTTATGAAGTGTGGATTAATGAATATTATTAGTATAATAGATTAATGGATATTAAACCTTGCCTTAAAATGCATTAAATATGAATGGAAGGGGTAGAAGATGAGCTCCACAAACTCAACTAGATTTGTCCTAGTGAGGTGCTGTGCACTGAACTAATGAGCTGCTGAAGCTTTCTGATTAATAATTGGCAGTAAACCTGGTCCATCTCTGATCTGATCCTGGGTTTCATCTGTAGGGTTGGCTGAGAGAAACAGACACCAATATCCTATCTGTGCAATAGGTGGTAAGAGGTTCTCATCCATTCTTTTAGGTAGAGGATAGCCCAAATTATGTACAGGAGTAAATACTTTTATACTCAGAGGTGAGCCATCCTGAAGAAGGAAGGAGGAAAAGGGAGGAAAAGCAATCACAGAATTACTAGCGATAGGAAGTTTATTGCCTTAGAAGAGTGCCAAATTACACCAACCTGGATCGACCTGTTATACTTGTCTAACCCCCAAATGTGCACATAAACACGGGCATGCATACTTCCACAGCTTGCTTTCTATTCCTCCTCCTGCTGTCCCACTGCAGATATATCCAGCTGATCTCACTGCCTTTTCCCTTATCATGTCAGTGACAGAAGTTGAATGCTGTCTTTACAGTCAGTTAATCCTGAGTATATTATTCCAAGGACAAAGTATAAATATCTCCAGGAAGTGCACTTTAATTAAAAGGTTATTGGCCAAGCAGAATTGCCTCCTGGGTCAGAGCTTGGAGGGCCTGCTTTTCTCCTAATGAGAAGATAAAGGACACTTCTCCCTTCCTCTGCAGCATGTGCATGTCAGTATAAAAGCTTATTACAGCCGTACAGGGAATAATTATTAGAACAGAGAAATATATAACCATGTGTGTGGATTATTTTCTGAAACCAAGTCCTGTTCTCTGAAGTGGTTTCTGACGGAAGAGTTTGGGCTACAGTAGTTCTTGACTGTGTTCTTTACAGGCTGCTTATGTTTTACTTTTCCAGTATTCCACTGAATTACCCAACTGAGCATTGCTTGAAAAAAAGAAAATGTAGGGGTAAATCCTAATCTTGTGATCTTCCTTTGGGAACTGGCTCCCCAGCATGGTTAGCTTTGCCACGAGCACTGCTACCAATCCCACCTGGCCTCTACCTCTCCCCGCTGGTCACGAGGCCCACCCCTCCTGTGCTTACTCTCATCATGGACATTTGCATCTGAACATGGTTGTCGATGGAAGAGCGAAAGTCTGTATTTTAAAAAGAACATTTTTAGTAATTTCACAGGGCTGGGTTTGGTGGTGGTTTTTTTTTTAAATGAGTTCTCCATGTAATTTAATCAAATTATCTGCAAGTGCCTTGGTCTCCTATCAGGTCTTCTCGCCTCTGTTAATGCAAGTTCCTACATAACTTTGATTAAACACTTGATAGCTCTTTTAATACTCCAGAGAAATTGGCCCAGGTTATTATCTATCTGTGTTATAAACTGCAAAAATTAGAAAGGAAGGAAAAAAAGACCTGAATTGCATCACGTGGGGATAGATTCCTTTTATCTGGAAAATACTGGCTCTTTCAAATACCTCCAGATGTCATTCTGTTAAGTAAATCAGATTCTGCATGTTCATTAGAATCCATATTTTAACTGGACTTTGGACAAGCTGGAAAGCTATCTCCAGTTGTTGGCTTCTTCTAAAATTAACATACTTAAAAGAAAAGCCAACAGATTTGCAACTAATAAGTCTCAGTGAATTATAAAGAGTCGGGATCCTCCGCGTACATCTATGCATGCTACCATATATGGCAATGTTCTTCTCAATACTAGCTGGTCCACAAAAATGTAATGATAACAAATTCAAAACAAATACCTTTTAGGGACTAGCATGGCAATTG